TTCCCCCGGGAGCTCCCTATTGTATTCAAATTGTATATATAATTGTAAATATATGTAATATATATATATTTGATATAATCCTATAATCCCGTTTCGTTCAGACTTCTTTCAGGTTTTTCTTCTGTGGTTCGTTTTTTTTCCCTCACTTGGGGAGAGTGGGAGGGGGAAGGAGACAGCCTGGACTTGGCGGGAGAGCCAGGCCAAACTGATACACACATTCCTATTGGGGGCTCGTCCGGGATATTTTGGTTAAGTTTGGCCTGTTTTGAAAACATTGTCCAGGAAGACAGCCAAGCTCGGGTTTGTTTTGTAAACAAATCTATTGTTTTGAGAACAAGTCTGGGAACACTGCCAGAGTCCGGGAAAACTGCCAAGCGCAGTCTTTGTTTACAAAACAATTACCGGGAAAACAGCCAAGAAAACTTTGTTTATATAAACAAGGATTTGTTTGGGAACAAGGAGAAAGAATAAAGGTAAACAATGGGAAGTGCTAGCTCTACCTTCTTCAGCCACTACCACAGGAGCCCTGTAGGTGGCCCTAACAATGACCCTGATGCCTTAAGCCCCTAATGGTTTCTTATTTTTCTAATTTTGTAAGCCTTATAAGTTTTATAAGAGCCTCCAGGAGAGCTACTAGGGCATTTGCTGCCCAGGCTTGGCTCCTCCTCGGAACTGATTAAGGTGAGTGAGGGGTGGGTCAGGCTCGTTAGCAGGTACTACAGGAGGCTATATAAGAGCCTCCAGGAGCCTGAGCGACCTTCGCTCGCACCCCACAGGAGCAGACTAACAGGGGTGTGGCACAGCAATTTCAAGGCATTTCAAGCAGGCAGGGCTCAAACAGTTCCCACTTCTCGTAGGTGAGTGTGCTTTTTAAAGCTAGAAATGGTTTCCAAAAAAACAAAAGCCATTACTGTTGTTAATACTAGGAGTGTGTCTGCTCAGACACTCCCCTCGAAGAAGGATGCAGCCACCCAGGTCTCTGGCTGTGCAGAGTGTCTGAGCCTGACGTTGGTACCGGAGGATGGTGTAGGAGGTAGCTGTGTACGATGCAAGCAGGTGAGTGACTTGCTGTGCCTGGTAGCAGAACTTAAGGAAGAGGTAGAGAGATTAAGGTGCATTAGGGAGAGTGAAAAGGAAATTGACTGGTGGAATCAAACCCTTTTGAACCCTAAGGAAGTCCAACAGGAGACGGCGAAGCCCTGCCCCTCCTGCCATAAGGCAGATGGAGCAGACCAAATTGATGGGGGGGAATGGAAACAGGTCCCTAATGGGAGAGGTAAAAGAACGCTCTCGACCCCCATCGACCCCCAGGGTGCCCTTGAAGAATAGATATGAGTCCCTAGACCCAGACAGTCAGGTAGAGGACAGCCAAGAAGATCTCTCTGGAGAGCCTCCTGGTTCGGCCCTGTCTAATAGACGGATTACAACCACAGGTGTAAAAAAAAAAAGAAGGGTGGTTGTAGTCGGTGACTCCCTTCTGAGGGGAACTGAGGGCCCTATTCGTCGCCCAGACCCATCCCAGAGAGAAGTATGCTGCCTTCCTGGGGCCAGGGTGAGGGATATTAGTAGGAGACTTCCTGAGCTAATTCAGCCCTCAGACTATTATCCGCTGGTGGTAGTCCAGGCTGGCAGTGAGGACATTAATGGAAGAAGTGCCAGGATAATTAAAAAAGACTTCAAAGCACTGGGTCGGTCAGTTCAGGGGACAGGAGCACAGGTGATATTTGCCTCAGTTCCTGTACTATCTGGGATGGATGAGGAGTTAAATAAAGAGTGGAGTAAAAAATCCAACTCCTCAACAGATGGCTAAAGGACTGGTGCCACCATCAAAATTTTGGTTTCTTTGACCTTGGGGCAAACTCCATGGTACCTAGTTTCTTAAAATTGGATGGGATTCATCTTTCTAGGAAGAGCAAGAGGACTGTAGTGCATAAGTTGGCAAGGCTGATCAGGAGGGCTTTAAACTAGGTTTGAAGGGGGAAGGGGTTGAAACTCGGCTCTCCAGTGATCAGCCTAAGGACAGAAAGCCCGAGTTAAGAACGAAATCAGCAGCCCACCTGAAGTGCTGTACACCAATGCACGCAGTATGGGCAACAAACAAGAGGAGCTGGAAGCCATCGTGCAGCAGGAAGGCTATGATGTAGTCGCCATCACAGAAACGTGGTGGGATGACTCACACGACTGGAGTGCTGCCATGGATGGCTACAAGCTCTTCAGAAGGGACAGGCAGGGTAGGAGAGGTGGAGGGGTGGCTTTATATGTCAGAGAGTCTCTTGACTCTGTTGAACTTGAAATCAGCAACGATAAGGTTGAGTGCCTGTGGACCAGAATCAGGGGGAAGGCCAACAAGGCCGACATCATCATAGGTGTTTGTTACAGACCGCCTTACCAGGATGACGAAGGGGATGAAATATTCTACAAGCAGCTGGCGGATGTCTCAAAATCGTCAGCCCTTGTCCTTGTGGGTGACTTTAACCTGCCAGATATCTGCTGGGAGCAGAGAAGAGGCAGTCGAGGAATTTCCTAGAGTGTATAGAAGACAATTTCCTTCATCAACTGGTAAATGAACCTACCAGGGGTAAGGCCCCGCTAGACCTGCTGTTTACAAACAGAGAGGGGCTGATGGGAGATGTAGCAGTTGAAGGCTGCCTGGGAAATAGTGACCATGAAATAATAGAATTTTCAATACTCAGAGATTCAAGGAGAAACAACAATAAAACCTCTACGCTGGACTTCCGGAGGGCAGATTTTGACCTATTCAAAAGTCTAGTCCAGAGCATACCCTGGGAAACAACCCTTGAAAACAAGGAGGTCCAGGAGGGATGGATGTGCGTCAAGCAGGAAGTTTTGAGTGCACAGGAACAGGCTGTACCGGTGTGCCAAAAGGCAAGCCGGCGGGGAAGACAACCAGCTTGGTTAAACAGGGAGATTCTGAAGGAAATCAGGCATAAAAAGAGAGTTTACCGACTGTGGAAGAAAGGGCTGGCTACTTACGAAGAATTCAGGAAGACAGCTAGATCATGCAGAAAGAAAATCAGGGATACAAAAGCGCAATTCGAAGTTAAATTAGCCACTTCTGTTAGGTATAACAAAAAGTCCTTCTATAAATACATTAATAACAAAAGGAGGGGCAAAGAAAACCTTCATTCTTTGAGGGACTTGGAGGGAAACATAGTTAATAGAGATGAGGAGAAGGCTGAGGTACTAACACCTACTTTGCCTCAGTTTTTACCAGTAAGACAGGTGGCCCTCAAGGCAACTGGCCTCTGGAGCTGGTAGACAGAGACAGGAAACCAAATAGTCCCCTTGTATTCCAGGAGGAAATAGTGACTTACTGAGTCATCTGGATCCTCACAAGTCTATGGGACCAGATGGGATCCATCCTAGGGTGATGAGGGAGCTGGCAGAAGAGCTTGCCAAGCCGCTCTCCATCATCTTCCAACAATCCTGGCTCACTGGGGAGGTCCCATATGACTGGAAGTTGGCAAATATCACCCCAATCCATAAAAAAGGCTGCAAGGCTGACCCTGGTAACTACAGGCCTGTCAGCCTGACCTCGGTGCCTGGCAGAGTTATGGAGCAGATTATCCTGTGTGAAATCACACAGCACCTACAGGATGGACAAGGGATCAGACCCAGCCAACATGGCTTTAGGAGGGGCAGATCCTGTTTGACCAACCTGATCTCCTTCTACGATCAGGTGACCCACCTGGTGGATGAGGGAAAGGCTGTGGATGTGGTCTATCTGGACTTCAGCAAAGCCTTTGACACTGTCTCCCATAGCATACTCCTGGAAAAGCTGGCAGCCCATGGCTTGGACAGGGGCACTCTGTGCTGGGTCAGGAACTGGCTGGAGGGTCGGGCCCAGAGAGTGCTGGTGAATGGAGCTGCATCCAGTTGGTGACCGGTCACCAGTGGTGTTCCCCAGGGGTCAGTGCTGGGCCCAGTCCTTTTTAATATCTTTATCGATGATTTAGATGAGGGGATTGAGTCCATCATCAGCAAATTTGCAGATGACACCAAGTTGGGAGGGAGTGTCGACCTGCCGGAAGGCAGGAGGGCTCTGCAGAGGGATCTGGATAGGCTGGAGAGATGGGCTGACTCCAGTGGAATGAAGTTCAACAAGGCCAAGTGCTGGGTCCTGCACTTTGGTCGCAACAACCCACTGCATCGCTACAGGCTGGGCACAGAGTGGCTGGAGAGCAGCCAGGCAGAAAGGGACCTCGGGGTACTGATCGACAGGAAGCTGAACATGAGCCAGCAGTGTGCCCAGGTGGCCAAGAAGGCCAATGGCGTCCTGGCCTGTATCAGGAACAGTGTGGCCAACAGGAGCAGGGAAGTGATCCTTCCCCTGTACTCTGTGTTGGTGAGGCCACACCTTGAGTATTGTGTTCAGTTCTGGGCCCCTCAGTTCAGGAAGGATATTGAGGTGCTGGAGCGGGTCCAGAGAAGAGCAACGAGGCTGGTGAAGGGACTTGAGCACAAGTCCTATGAGGAGAGGCTGAGGGAGCTGGGGTTGTTTAGTCTGGAGAAGAGAAGGCTTAGAGGCGACCTCATCACTCTCTTCAATTACCTGAAGGGAGGTTATAGCCAGGTGGGAGTTGGTCTCTTCTCCCAGGCAACCAACAATAGGACAAGGGGACATGGTCTCAAGCTCTGCCAGGGGAGGTTTAGGTTAGATGTTAGGAAGAAATTCTTTACAGAGAGGGTTATCAGGCATTGGAACGGCCTACCCAGAGAGGTGGTGGATTCTTCATCCCTGGAGGTTTTTAAAAAGAGATTGGACGTGGCCCTTAGTGCCATGATATAGTAATTGGAGTTGGATCAGGGGTTGGACTTGATGATCTTGGAGGTCTTTTCCAACCCAATCTATTCTATGATTCTATGATTCTATGATTTTAAAAGCAGCAGCCCTGTCCCTCTATCCTGTAGCACCCTTAGTTTACACATTCCTTAACCCTCTTACCCCATTCTATGCTCCCCATATCAAACCTACCCCTGAATTCAGTGGCAATGTTTCATCTTTTGTCAAGGCAAGGCCTAGACTGTTTAGAGAACAGCATATCAGGGCCTGAATAACAAAACGGAGTCAAGAATTAGGTGAATATGTACACTCTGTGCCCCGAAGATGATGAGACTGATGAAGTAGAGGGTCCCAAAAAGCCCCCTGACTCAATTCTCAGGGGGTCGACCCGGGGCGGTCCAGAGTAAAGGCCACAGGGTGGACACATTTGGGATTGGATAGATGGTATTATAAGATGTAAAATCTCAGGCACAGCGGCCGCGCATCGTGTAACATAATTGGCATAATTAAACCCTTTCCTTATCTCATCCCTAATTAACTGCTCTGGAGTATTTTTTTAGCACCAACATCTCCACGGCATCAGCTGGTGGCCTGTACGGGGAAACCTGGACTGGAACTTCTTCAGACTGGAAACTTTCATTGAACAGGAATTCCTCATCAAACTGGCTTTTATCTGAGATAATTCCCGCCCCGGTCTGAGAAGCCCAGCTCCACAGAACCCACGGAAGCAAGCATGTAGCGTAGAGGTGAGATAAGAAAAGAGCGAATAAGGAAAAAGGTACCTTCCTCAGTTAGCAGCTGCGGGAAAGTTTGTGTTCCCGGGAGATAGGGAACATGGGTGACTGGAAAGTTAACTTGAAGACTTGGGCCCATATAGTTGTGGAAGTTGCTTTCCAGTCAGCGGACGGGTGGTTCGCCAACCCAGGTCAGAGCGGGTTTCAGCCTAGGGCTGTTTTTTTGGAAGGGACGCTTTCCGGTGTGCTCTGACGCTGTGGGGGAACCAGTGGGGCTCCAGAGTCAGTGTGACTTGGTAGAATAGCTGAGAGGTTATGGTAACAGCTTGGTAACCCTAAGGAAGCAAGTTCAAATCCCAGTGTGTGGTTGTGATCTGTTCTTGTTTTGTAATCATGGGTTGTGTGGATTCAAAAGTTGAGATCCCTAAAGAATCCCCCCTGAGAATGGTTTTGAAGTACTGGAAGATTTTAACCGGTCCCAGTACAATTTTAAGAAAGGAAGAACTTTGCAGATGAGAGGAGTGACTTGGCTGGAATTCGGTTCTTTTGAGCTAGACACGGTGTTGAAATTAATTTCACTCCTCAATGCAGAACAGAAATGGGAAGAGATCAGGTATGCAGAATTGTTCATGTTTCTGTTAACACGCCCTGGATTGAGAGAAGGAGATAAGAAGAACGAAAGTTCAGGAGAGATGGAAAAATCAGAAATGGCTTTAGGAAAAGGGAAAAAGAAAGATCGAGTTTTATTTAAAAACATGGGAAATGGTGATTTAAGTGTGTTAATGTCACCTAATGAGAGAGAAAACAGCCCGGAAGAAGCCGGAGCTGCAGGACCGGCTCCTGCTGAGCAGGAAGGAACCATTGAAGGACTCCCTGGTGTGGATCTGGCCACACCGGGAGGGATTAGGCAAATTAAGGCCTCCGGAGGAGTTAGCTCGGGTCTGGCGGGAGTGAGTCCTGTTGGTTTGGCTGGAGCAAGCACAGAGGTGCAGATAAGATCTGTGAGATCAGCTTTTGTTGAAACTGCTTTTAGTGCAGCAGAGCAAAGCGGGAGTCATGCAGATGCTGTGGGGCTAGCTAGCTCAGAAATAACATCTAGTTTGGTTGCAACAGGAGTAACAGCAGGAGAGACTCCTGGCCCCACAGGGGCAATGGAGGCGGGGTCTACCCTGCCTGTTCCAGTGAGCATGGAAGCAGTCTGTAGCTCTGCTGCTGCTGACAGCTTTGCCGGAGCAGACAAAGTTGTCATGGTAACAGCAGAGGTGAGTGCGGGAGTAGCAGAATGAGTAAGAGCTGAAGTTGATAGTTCTACCAGTGATGGGACAGGAGCTATGAAGGCTGAAAAGTTGGCTTTTACTAAGGTTGCTTTTGGCATAGTAACACCAGAGAAAGTTGCTATAGATGCGGCATCTGTTGTAGAAACAAGGGAGATTTTAGAGGTCACAGCAAAAGCGCCGCTGGAATTCGCCAGTGTAGGGATGGCGGCAGGCGTAAGAGTTGCTGATTTAGACAGTGACAGTAAAGTGAAGGCGTCAGCCCCAGGGGGGGCGACGGCCCCAAATGTAGGGGTGTTTGTGAGAGCGAGTAGCCCAGCACCACAGATGGGTGCAGAGGCAGTTGATTCTATCGGTGGCGATAGTGACATGAGAACTGTAAGAATGGAGCTGCATGCCCCGAGTGCAAGAGAGACACCAAAGTTTGCTGCAAACACAGCAGGCTGTACTGTTGGAGAGGCGATTATAAGAACAGCTGTTGCCGCGGCAATGGAACTCCCAGCTCAGAGAGCAGAGGAGGTTTCTGGAATGGCCGTTACCACGGCGACAGAACTGGCTGGCGTGGTAAAAAGAAAAGTGTTGCCTGTGTCTAATACAGTGAGAATGCGTGTAAAAGGGAAAAACCAGGCAAAGTTTGTCCCAGCTATACTAACAGGTGAGAAAGGAGGAGAAGATCCGGGGACAGAGAAAGCGAGATTAGAGCAGAGAGCGATCCTGAAGTTTAAAACTGTGGCGAGCACAGTAAGGCGGGAACAGGAAAAACTAATCCCAGTTGTTGCTCTGACTAATGAGAAGGTTTTGTTTCCTACTAGTGTGGTCCAGGCAGAGACGGCAGATGCGAGTGCCGCGAAAACTATGGGACCGTTGGGCGCGGCAGCACGAGAGAGAGCTGGGGCCACTGACTTTGCAGGGGTGGCGGGACCCAGCTCTGCCCCTGCTGTTTCAGGTACCGCCCCAGGTGTGGCAGGCAGAGATCAGGTCGTAGCAAAGACACCGAGAACTACGAGAAAGGCTAGGGCAAAGAAAATAGATGGGAGTGTGGAGTCTCCTCTGTCCATGCTGGCTGGCGCGGGGGGGTGACTCCTTCCCCTGTAACAGCTAATCCCATGCAAGCAGCTGCAGTAGGTGTGAGTGTCGCGGAGATTTTAAAGCCACCTGACGACTCTACAGTTGTCATAACAATAAAAATGCCTGCTCCCATAACAAGCGGAGCAGGGCCGAGGGCGAGAGCGGCCAGTGCCCAGCCTACCCCAATGTGTAGGAAAGGAAGGGGAAAATCACGTGACTGTCGCAGGCACCGGCACCGCTCTGTAAGCGCAGGGGCAGCGTTAACCATCGGTACAGAAAGAATAAGCCCAACTGCAGAACAGTCAAAGTCTGGGTTTGGTACAGGAGCTGCTGCCGCCTCTGCAGACGGAGCGGGGGCCACAGCGAGTGCACAGGCAAATCATTTCCTGGCTGTGGCCAACACAAGCAGAGCTACTCATGGCACCTTGGCGGCTGTGGGCAGGAGACCGGCTGGGGGTGCAGAGGCTGCAGGAGAGCCTAGAGCGATGTCTGTGGCTGGAGTCCCAGCCCAGCCTAATGCGGGACCCTCTGGCTCTGCCATTAGGGGCGGAGATGGAGTCGTTGCTCCCCCTCTGGGCCTCCCAAGCCTGCACAGTCCGTGCCCTCCCACTGTACTGAAAAGGGGGGGGGGACATTCAGTGTACAATTCCAACGATCACAAAAACTAAAACCTGCTGGTGCAATATATGTAATAAGGTGATGCTTTGAAAACTATGGGAGCTATCTAAGTCTAAAGGGAAAGAAACTGATTTGTCCCCAATAAACAAAACTAGAAAAAGAAACTGTCTATTGACCCTTGCATCCCTTGTCTTTTAAAACTGTCACAGGCTCATAACCTGTGAAAGAATATTCCTACCCTAATTCAGTAAGGGGGGAATACTGTTTTGTTTTAAATATAAACTAATAATGTGTCAGAAGTTAACTGTTTACAGATAGTTTGTTCCAGCAAGCAGACCTGAAAGCTGTGCCAAAATTCAAACTGAAGAGCCATGAGAATAACTTTTATGCAGAAGTAGACAAATGTCTTAACTGCAAATGAAATACATCAAGACCAAAGGGTATTAAACTGCAATAAGACCAACTTGCACTAAAGGTGCCTGTCCTGGGCTATCCCACAGGGAAATGTCCAGGCCCAGAGGAGGAATGTTACCAATACTTTTCTTAATTTCGACATCAAAGGCCTGGTAAAGGAGATCCCCACGGTTACAATTGGCTCCAATTATTGTCTAAACTGTGTTGCAACAATACTGTTATTGATGAAGGTAATGAAGTGCTACTTAAAATTGGAAGAATGGTATTGTATTGCTTTCCCTGTTGTAGAAAAGATTGCACCTCAAGGGGACTCGCTGGAACTTTGGAAAGGGCTGCAGACAGGCCAGTCCCTGGGTGGCATGGAGCCTGTGTAGATTTTGGTAAATTAGTAGGATGTGTGTCACCTCCCATTAATTGGGAGTTCACGCCAGAACAGATGTTTGATTCTGGTGAGATGACCCGCTGTTTAACAGAAGGGTGTTTTTCCTACGAGGATTCGAATATGCGATTCTCCGCTTTGTGCTGGGGCCCGGCTAGTGCTTATGGAGCTGCTGTAGACCACTTTCAAAAGGTTAAGGCTGGGACCAGAGCTCAAACTATGCCACCTGAGACCAGTGATGTTCCCGTTGAGTCCACAGGAAGTGAGGCCAAAACACAGCTTAAAGTCAATGCCGTTTCTACTAAGTCCACTAGAACTGGGACTCAAGCTAAAAGCCGGAAAGTCATCGTTGCCCCTATAAAGAAGAAAAAGGGTAAGGGTAAGGGAAATTGCAGAACCTACAGACCCATCTCCGCGACTGGAATGCACAGAAGAAGAAGAAGAAAGAGGAGAAGAAGAAGAAGGAGCGGAAGAACCTATCCAATCCACGCAGGAAGTAGCAGACGAAGGAGCAGCAGCACTGGACGAAGGAGCGGCAGCAGTGGATGAAGGAGTGACTACAAGCAAGGAAGGAGCGACAGCAATGGATGAAGGAGTGACTGTGAGAGAGGAGGAAGTGGCTGTGACAGAGGAAGGGGTGACTGCAACAGAAGAAACAGCTACCAGAGAGGAAGAAGCAGTTGCAAGAGAAGGGACGCGCCCAAAAGAACTAGGGGCGTGTCCAAAGGAAAGTAGAGCAGTATCAAGAGAAAAAAATGCAACAGTACAAACGACCCGTAGTATATTGTCACTCGATGATTTATATCCTGACTACACATTCAGTGTTTCGAAAGATGCAAAGAAGGGGCCAAAGCGTTCCTCTCAACCTGAGGAAGAATTATCCCTACCTCTCAGACCCAACCTTCTCTTGGAGGCGTGGATGATTGGATTAGGCCCTTATCTTGGCACCTGAAAGACTACTCACTACCTCCACGAGCTGGGTATGGCGAATGACATAGAATTCCATCCCCGCAGTATGAATGACGTAGAAGTCCATCTCTGCGGTATGAACGACATAGAAGTTCATCCCCATGGCGTGAACGACATAGAAGTCCATCTCCATGGCGTGAACGATGTAGAAGCTCATCGCCACAGCATGCCTAGTCCCCACCTCCACGTGAGAGATACAGAGAGGAGGCGGGAGCGGCTCCACATAAGAGCGGAAGAATAAAGAGGAAAGTGGAAAAGATTCTACGCAGGAGAGATGGACAGGAAATAATGCGAGAAAGTGAAATTACACAATCACTGACCACAAGAGAGCTTAGAGATATACGAAGAGATTACATTCACTTGCCTGGTGAACGAATCCTCACCTGGCTGGTGTGATGCTGGGACAAGGGAGCTGATAGTCACATGATTGAAGGTCACGAAGCACGACAATTGGGATCCATTGCCCGAGACCATGAGATAGAACAAGAAATGGGAAGGGAGACAATGGAGTCCAGTCTTTGGATCCGAATCCTCCACACTGTGAGGGCGAGATACCCATTCAAGGAGTCTCTGATGAGCTCTCCAAGAAAGTGGAACACTGCAGAAGAAGGCATCCAATACCTACGGGAATTGGCCATGCTAGAGATCATCTATTCTGATCCAGACTATTATGACATCCAAGTTCCTGAGAGTGTTCCCTGCATGCAGCCCATGTGGAAAAAGATAATTAAAGGTGCCCCTAAACCATATACCTACTGCTTGATAACCGCATATCATCCAAAGATGGACAAACCAAGTGTGGACACCATGTGTTCTTGGATAAGGAGCATAGCAGAAAATCTGGAATACTCCTCCGATCCCCTATACCAACCCACCTACAATAGGGAAAGAATGGAGAGAGATTATGAATACTCCAGATATGAGGACGACCCTAGAGATGACAGACATTATAGAGATTACAGAGAAAGGCCAATAGAACGATCACGACGGGATCGATGAAGACGACCTTGACCTAGACCTCGATTCTGGTCTCGGTCTCGCTCACGATCTTCATCATTCACACATCGAAGGAAAGAAAACCCTAAGCGTCAGACACGTAACCAACTATGGGCATACTGATGTCTTAAGATTCTTTTAGTTTTTTGGTTTTTCTAATTTTTATAAGCTTTATAAGTAGTTATATAGTAGAAGTAGACTTTAGAAGCAGCAGCCCTTATTCCTTTACCCTTTAGCTCAGTAGTTTACACATTCCTCAACTCTTACACACCCTATTCCATGCTCCCGTATCGATATCCCCTGAATTCCAGTAGAAAATGTTTAGTCTCTAGTCAAAGTAGGCCCATTTTGTTTAAGAACACTTGTGCCTTGGCCTGAACTGCAAAAGTACAGTCAAGAATTGGGTGACCGTGTACCCTTTGTGCTCTGAAGAAGACAAAGATGATGAAGAGATGGTCTCGAAAAGCCCCCAGTCCCAGTTCCAAGGGGGTGGGATGAGGGTGGACCAAGGCAAAAGCTATGGGGTGGAAACACTTGGGATTGGACAGTCAATATTATAAATTGTAACACCTGTACACGGCTGTGCGCGCACGTCTTGTTATTTCATTAAATCCTTTTCTTAGCTCATCTCCAATTAAATTGCTTTGGAGTTTTTTTTCCTCAGCTCCTGCAAGCAAGAGCTGTTGGCCTGAATGGGGAAAAGACTGGACCTGGACTTCTTCAGATCGAAGAATTGGAGGGCATTTCATCCTGCAAAAATACTAAAAGCCGGCATTTATTTGGAGAATTTGGATAATTTCCTCGCCGATCTGAGAAGCCCTAGCTCCCTAGAACCCCAGAGGAGGTGAGGTAAGAAAAGATACTTTTGGTTAGCAGCTGCAAAAGAGTTTTGTGTTTCCTGGGAAATAGGAAAATACAGTAGGACTGGAAATAGGCTTGGACTTGGGCCCAGAAGTCACGAGAGTCAGTTTCCAGTAGGCAAAAGAGTTCGCCAAGGCGGTTGGACCACCCAGGTGCAGGTCAGAGCATATTCATATCAGCCTAGGGCTGGCAAGCTTTCAAGCTTTGGGTTTTGTTTCAGTCTGGGACTGACTGGAAAAGGAGGACACCCCTTCTACAGTGCTCTGTTCCAGCAATGAGGCAAGGGAGCTCTGTAGCTATGTGGTTAAAGTAACAGCTTTGTAATCATAAGGCGACAAATTCAAATCCTGGTCTGTTGTTTGTGTGTGTTTTATTGTCATGGGTTGTGTGGATTCAAAGGTTAAGATTCCTAAAGGGTCTTCTCTGAGTTTGGTTTTGAAACACTGGAGTACTCTGACTGGTTCTGAGACAACTTTAACAAAGGAAGAACTTTGTAGGCTATCTGTAGATGCCTGGCCTCTGTTTGGACAAATGAGAGGGGTGACTTGGCCAGAATTTGGTCCTCTTGAACTGGACACAGTGTTCCAATAAATTTCGCTTCTTCATGAAGAACACAGATGGCAGGAAATTCGGTATGCAGAGTTGTTTATGTTTCTATTAACACGTCCTGGATTGGGAGAGGGAGATAAGAAAAACGAATGCTCAAAAGAGACAAAAACTTCAGAAATGGCTTTAGAGAAAGGGAAGAAGAAAGGTCAAGTTAAGGCTGCTCTTGTCCCACGAATTTTATTTAAAAACACTGGGGACGATGATTTGGACCTGTTAATATCGCCCGATAGGAGATATTGCTACCCAGGCTTGGCTCCACCTCGGAACTGATTAAGGTGAGTGAGGGGGGGGTCAAGCTCATTAGCAGGTACTACAGGAGGCTATATAAGAACTTCCAAGAGCGCGAGCGACCTTCGCTCGCGCACCCAACAGGAACGGACAAACAGGGGCGTGGCAGAGCAATTTGCACGGCATTTTGTGCAGGCAGGGCAAGCGGACAGGGCACAAACAGTTCCCACTTCTCGTAAGTGAGCGTGCTTTTTAAAGCTAGAAATGGTCTCCAGAAAAACAAAAGTTGTTGCTGCTGTTAATACGAGGAGTGTGTCTACACAGAGACTCCCCTCCAAGAAGGATGCATCCACCCAGGCCTCTGGCTGTGCAGAGTGTCTGAGCCTGTCATTGGTACCAGAGGATGGTGTGGGAGGTAGCTGTGTATGATGCAAGCAGGTGAGTGACTTGCTGTGCCTAGTGGCAGAACTTAAGGAAGAGGTAGAGAGGTTAAGGTGCATTAGAGAGAGTGAAATAGAAATTGACTGGTGGAGTCAAACCCTTTTGTCCCCTAAGGAAGTCCAACAGGAGACAGTGAAGCCCTGCCCCTCCTGCCATAAGGCAGATGGAGCAGACCAAATTGATGGGGGGGAATGGAAACAGGTCCCTAATGGGAGAGGTAAAAGAACCCTCTCTCAACCCCCATCGACCCCCAGGGTGCCCTTGAAGAATAGATATGAGTCCCTGGACCCAGACAGTCAGGTAGAGGACAACCAAGAAGATCTCTCTGGAGAGCCTCCTGGTTCGGCCCTGTCTAATAGACGGATTACAACCACAGGTGTAAAAAAAAAAAGAAGGGTGGTTGTAGTCGGTGACTCCCTTCTGAGGGGAACTGAGGGCCCTATTCGTCGCCCAGACCCATCCCAGAGAGAAGTATGCTGCCTTCCTGGGGCCAAGGTGAGGGATATTAGTAGGAGACTTCCTGAGTTAATTCAGCCCTCAGACTATTATCCACTGGTGGTAGTCCAGGCTGGCAGTGAGGACATTAATGGAAGAAGTGCCAGGATAATTAAAAAAGACTTCAAAGCACTGGGTCGGTCAGTTCAGGGGACAGGAGCACAGGTGATATTTGCCTCAGTTCCTGTACTATCTGGGATGGATGAGGAGTTAAATAAAGAGAGAAGTATAAAAGCCCAACTCATCAACAGATGGCTAAAGGACTGGTGCCACCATCAGAATTTTGTTTTTTTTGACCATGGGGCAAACTCCATGGTACCTAGTCTCCTAAAATCAGATGGGATTCACCTTTCTAGGAAGAGCAAGAGGACTGTAGCGCATAAGTTGGCAAGGCTGATCAGGAGGGCTTTAAACTAGGTTTGAAGGGGGAAGGGATTGAAACCGGGCTCTCCAGTGATCAGCCTAAGGACAGAAAGCCGGAGTTAAGAATGAAATCAGCAGCCCACCTGAAGTGCATGTACACCAATGCACGCAGTATGGGCAACAAACAAGAGGAGCTGGAAGCCATCGTGCAGCAGGAAAGCTATGATGTAGTTGCCATCACAGAAACATGGTGGGATGACTCACACGACTGGAGTGCTGCCATGGATGGCTACAAGCTCTTCAGAAGGGACAGGCAAAGTAGGAGAGGTGGAGGGGTGGCTCTGTATGTTAGAGAGTCTCTTGACTCTTTAGAATTTGAAGTCAGTAACAATAAGGTTGAGTGCCTGTGGATCAAAATCAGGGGGAAGGCCAACAAGGCTGACATCCTGGTGGGAGTCTGCTACAGACCACCCAACCAGGATGATGAGGATGATGAATTCTTCTACAAGCAGCTGGCAGATGTCTCAAAATCGCCAGCCCTTGTTCTTGTGGGTGACTTTAACCTGCCGGAGGCTTGCTGGGAACTCCACATGGCAGAGAAGAGGCAGTCTAAGAGATTCCTAGAGTGTATAGAAGACAATTTCCTGCTCCAACTGGTAAATGAGCCTACCAGGGATGGGGCCCTGCTAGACCTCCTGCTCACAAACAGAGAGGGGCTGGTGGGAGATGTGGTGGTCGGAGGCCGTCTGGGGCACAGTGACCATGAAATAATAGAATTCTCAATACTCAGGGATGCAAGAAGGGCCATCAATAAAACCTCTACGCTGGACTTCCGGAGGGCAGATTTCAGCCTGTTCAAGAGACTGGTTCAGAGGGTACTATGGGAAACAACCCTTGAAGACAAAGGGGTCCAGGAGGGATGGACATACTTCAAGAAGGAAGTCTTAAAGGCACAAGAGCAGGCTGTCCCAGTCTGCCGAAAGGCAAGCCGGCAGGGAAGACAACCAGCCTGGCTGAACAGGGAGATCTTGAGGGAAATTAGGATGAAAAAGAGAGCCTACCTATTATGGAAAAAAGGACTGGCTACTCAGGAAGAGTTCAGGAATTTAGTTAGGTCATGTAGAAAGAAAATCAGAGAGACGAAGGCAAGATTTGAACTCAATCTTGCCACTTCTGTTAAGGATAATAAAAAGTCTTTCTATAGATACATCAGTAGCAAAAAGAGGGACAAGGAAAACCTCCATTCATTAGTGGACATGGGGGGGAACATAGTTATTAAAGATGAGGAAAAGGCTGAGGTATTTAACACCTTCTTTACCTCAGTCTTCAACGGTAGGACAGGTCTCTCTGAGGACAGCTGGCTTCTGGAGCATGTAGATAGGAATATGAAGCTGAATAGTCCCCCCCGTAATCATGGAGGAAACAATCAGCAACCTGCTGAACCACTTGGATCCTCACAAGTCTATGGGACCAGATGGGATCCACCCAAGGGTGATGAGGGAGCTGGCGGAAGAGCTCGCCAAGCCGCTCTCCATCATTTACCAACAGTCCTGGCTCACTGGGGAGGTCCCAGATGATTGGAAGTTGTCAAATGTCACACCAATCCACAAAAAGGGCCGGAAGGAGGACCCAGGAAACTACAGGCCTGTCAGTCTGACCTCAGTGCCTGGCAAGGCAATGGAGCAGATCATCTTGGGTGCAATCGCACAGCACCTACAGGATGGACAAGGGCTCAGACCCAACCAGCACGGGTTTAGGAAGGGCAGATCCTGTCTGACCAACCTGATCTCCTTCTACGATCAGGTGACCCGCCTGGTGGATGAGGGAAAGGCTGTGGATGTGGTCTATCTGGACTTCAGCAAAGCCTTTGACACTGTCTCCCATAATATACTCCTGAAAAAACTGGCAGCCCATGGCTTGGACAGGGGCACTCTGTGCTGGGTTAGGAACTGGCTGGAGGGCCGGGCCCAGAGAGTGCTGGTGAATGGAGCTGCATCCAGCTGGCAGCCGGTCACCAGTGGTGTCCCCAGGGATCAGTGTTGGGCACAGTTCTGCTTAATATCTTTATCAATGATTTAGATGAGGGGATTGAGTCCATCATCAGCAAATTCGCAGACGACACCAAGTTGGGAGGGAGTGTTGACCTGCCGGAAGGCAGGAGGGCTCTGCAGAGGGACCTGGATAGGCTGGAGAGTTGGGCTGGTTCCAACGGGATGAGGTTCAACAAGGCCAAGTGCCGTGTCCTGCACTTTGGCCACAACAACCCCCTGCAGCGCTACAGGCTGGGGACAGAGCGGCTGGAGAGCAGCCAGGCAGAAAGGGACCTGGGAGTGCTGATCGACAGGAAGCTGAACATGAGCCAGCAGTGTGCCCAGGTGGCCAAGAAGGCCAATGGCGTCCTGGCCTGTATCAGGAACACTGTGGCCAGCAGGACCAGAGAAGTGATTCTGCCCCTGTACTCAGCGCTGGTGAGGCCTCACCTGGAGTACTGTGTCCAGCTCTGGGCCCCTCAGTTCAGGAAGGATATTGAGGTGCTGGAGCAGGTCCAGAGAAGAGCAACGAGGCTGGTGAAGGGACTTGAACACAAGTCCTATGAGGAGAGGCTGAGGGAGCTGGAGTTGTTTAGCCTTGAGAAGAGAAGGCTCAGGGGAGACCTCATCACTCTCTACAACTCCCTGACAGGGGGTTGTAGCCAGGTGGGGGTTGGTCTCTTCTCCCAGGCAATCATCAGCAGGACAAGAGGGCATGGCCTTAAGCTCTGCCGGGGGAGGTTTAGGTTAGATATTAGAAAGAAATTCTTTACAGAGAGGGTGATCAGCCATTGGAATGGGCTGCCCAGGGAAGTGGTGGATTCTCCATCCCTGGAGGTTTTTAAGATGAGGCTGGATGTGGCACTTAGTGCCATGGTCTAGCAACTGTGGTGGTAGTGGATCAAGGGTTGGACTTGATGATCTCAGAGGTCCTTTCCAACCCGTCTGATTCTATGATTCTATGATTCTAAAATAGCCCGGGGACTTCACAGGTAGGACTCCCTGCTGCTGCAGTGGGGGGAGGGGGGGGGGCTGGAGCTGCAGAGGTGGAGGCCTCTGGACCAGCTCCTGCTGGACAGGCAGGGGCTGGGCAGGTGGGGGCCGCTGGAGGACCCCCTGGTGCGGCCGCACCGTGGGGAGTTGGGCAGATCGGGGCTTCCGGAGGAGCTGGCTTGGGGGCGGTGAGAGCTGCTCCGGGCACTGCCAGTACAGGATCTGCTGTCATGGCAACGAGTACAGGAGCAGGCACGGCGGGAGTAACGGGGCCGGGGCCAACCCCAGCTGCGGCAGCGGCGGGGGCACGGGCCCCATGAGCAGTGACAGGAGCAACTCCCAGAATTGCGGGAGGGGCAGGGGTGGTGCTGACAGGCAGGGCCTCTGTCCTGAGTGACCTGGGGAGTGGGGCTGGAGCCGCCCCCTTTCCTGCGGCACCCCCCCCCCCCCCCCCCCCCCCCCGCAGAGGGGGGGGGCAGTCCAGCTTTATGGAACGGGGGGGGGGGGAGAGGAACTGAAAGAGTTTTCAATCTCTGCCTCTCATGAAGAGGGAACAGGGACGCGAAAACGGGGCAAGACAATTTCAGCTGCTGAGAGAAGGCAGAAGTGAAATTTAGCCCCATTTCATAATGACAGAGCTGATACAGGCACAGAAAAAGAAGGTGAATCAAGTGATAGCTCGGGGGGAGGAGAAGTAGACCCTCCTGTAGTAAAACCAAAGACAAAGGGGAAGAGAACCCGTGAAGCGTTAGCAGCCCCAGACCCGATAGCTAGCAGGACAAGAACAAAGGATAAACTGCCGTTAGAAGCCCTCTTAAGACAAACTGTAACCAATCAGGGCACAATATTAATAAAAGTTCCTTTCTCACTGGTTGAGTTACAACAATGGAAGGAATCTGTGGGGGCATATAGAGATAACCCAGAGAGAGCAGCAAACTGTCCAGAGAGCAATCAAAACTCAAACCCCTGACTGGCATGACCTGGAAGTTATGATGGATACTTTATTAGATCAGAGAAGGAGACGGTAAAAAGAGCTGCTCGAACTGCAATTGAGATGCTAAAAATCTCTGGGCAGTTTCCAGGGGAAGATACTAAGGATATCTTCCCCCCTGAGGGTCCCAAATGGGATCCCAACATACCAGCAAATTTGGGAGCATTGAAATGGTATCAAGACTGGGTAATTTATGGATTCCGACGTGGGGTTCCGAAGGCAATAAACTGGTCAGAGATGTATGAAGTTAGACAGGATACGAATGAGTCGCCCATAGATTTTCTGAATGGGCTGAAGGATGTCATAAGAAAATACACTGATATTGATATAGAGTCAGACCTGGGGAAAAAACACGTGGTGTATTTGTTTGTAGGGCAGTCTACAGATGATATAAGGAAAAAACTGCAAAAGGCAGGTGGTGACAAAAAGGATATTGGTGAGTTATTGGATATAGCTTGGACAGTATATCGGAATAGAGAACAGAAGATGAGAGCAAGGGTGATGGAGCTAGAAAGGGGTTATTAAGAACGTCGTAAACATAACCACGGGTATTACAGGTCTAATCATCAACAGGACAGAGCAGATGATAGATGTTCTTATTGTAAAAAGAAGGGACATTGGAAAAGGGAGTGCCTGGAGCTGAAGAAAATTGAAAACCCTCTTCCCCCTCCACCGCCAGACCCCAGCTGACTGTGAGTCAGAATGCATGAAGAGGACCGGAAGTTTTTTCCCCAGCAGAACCTCTGGTTACAGTTAAGCTGGGGGGGGGGGGGAGGATGTTGAATTCTTGGTTGATACAGGTGTGGCATATTCTGTATTAAATACTTTGGAAGGGAAACTGAGTCATGAGACTATAACTGTGGTAGGCGCTGCAGGGGTAAGTGAAACAAGGCCATTTTTTAAACCTTTAAGATTTAAATTGGGCAAGCACTGGGTAACTCATCAATTTCTTTACATGCCAAATTCTCCTAGGCCTTTATTAGGTAGGAATTTATTGGAAAAATTAGAAGCTGAAATTAAATTCTGCAAGGGGGGAGAAATAAAAGTTATAATTCCAGATACTAAATATATCGAGGCAGCTGCTTTCTTTATACAGGAGAATCATGGAGAGATTCCTGCAGAAGTTAAGAATGCTGTCATTCCTTTAGTCTGGGCCAATGAATACCCTGGGAAGTCTAAACAAGCTGAATCAGTAAGCCTCACACTCAGAGCAGGAGCATCCCTGGTAAGGCAAAAGCAATATCCTTTAAAACTAGAAAGCCGAAAAGGCTTAGCACCTATAATTGAAAGGTTTCTTAAATTTGGCTTACTGGTAGAATGTGAATCCAGATTCAATACCCCCATCCTACCAGTGAAAAAGGCTGATGGCAAAAGCTATCGGTTAGTCCAAGATCTTAGGGCCATCAACAAAATAACCGAGGATATCTATCTGGTGGTAGCCAACCCCTGTACCCTATTAACCACATTGACAGAAGATCTAGGGTGGTTCACTGTACTTGATCTTAAAGATGCCTTTTTCTGCATTCCTGTGCATAAAGACAGCCAAGAGCTTTTTGCTTTTGAATGGGAAAATCCTGAGACAGGGAGGAAAACGCAGCTGACCTGGAGAGTTCTTCCACAAGGCTTTAAAAACAGCCTGACTATATTTGGGAACCAACTGGCAAAAGAACTGGAGGACTGGAGAAGACAGCAGCAAGAAGGAGTTGTCCTGCAGTATGTGGATGACGTCCTAATTGCAGCCAAAAGCCGGGACCAATGCATCGAGCTCACTGTAAGTCTCTTGAACTTTTTGGGGCTAAGTGGGTATCAAGTCTCAAGAGAGAAAGCACAGATAGCCAAAGAGATAGTCATCTACCTGGGGCTTGAAATTTATCGTGGGCATCAGCGGCTCAGCACAGACCGGAAAGAGGCCATTTGCGATCTCCCAGAACCCCACACCATACGAGAGATGCAGGCCTTCCTGGGAATGGTAGGATGGTGTCGGCTGTGGATAGCTAACTGTGGGTTGCTAGTCAAACCTCTATATGAAGCCCTGTAAACAGCCAAAGAGGGAGTTGTAATGTGGACAGATGAGACCAGAGATGTATTTAAATAGCTAAAACAATCCTCGATGTCAGCTCCAGCACTAGGATCACCGGATCTAACTAAACCTTTTGAACTGTTCACACATGAGCAATTGAATGTCGCTCTGGGGTATTATCACAAACTCTGGGAAGCCAGCGAAGGGCTGTGGCTTATTTCTCTAAGCAGTTGGACAGTGTTAGCCAAGGGTGGCCGGGGTGCCTGCGAGCCGTCGCAGCAACTGTTATCCTGATTGAGGAGGCCCGGAAGCTCGCCCTTGGGCAGAACATCACCGTGTATGTACCTCATGCACTTCAAGCCGTGCTCGAACAGAAGGGAGGCCACTGGCTGTCCCCCAGCAGAATGCTTAAATACCAGGTTGTGTTGCTGGAACAGGATGATGTTACTTTGAAAACAACATCTATTGTAAACCCAGCTGTGTTTCTGTCCTCAACATTAACTGACAGTGTCCCTGAGCATGACTGTTTACAGACTATAGAGGAAACTTATTCCAGTGGACCAGACCTGAGAGATGTGCCTCTGGAAAATGCAGACTGGGAACTGTATACAGACGGAAGCAGCTTCATGAGTGATGGTAAGCGCTTCACAGGGTATGCAGTGACGACCAGAGATGAAGTGATCGAGGCAAAGGCCTTGCCAGCAGATGTGTCATCTCAAAAGGCAGAACTAATTGCACTGACAAGAGCCTTGGAACTGAGCGAAGGAAAGAAGGTAAATATCTGGACTGACTCAAAACATGCATTTAGTGTTGTACATGCCCACGGAGCCATCTGGAAAGAAAGAGGACTACTTAGAGCCCAAGGCAGTGGAGTCAAGCATGCAGACCAAATCCATGCACTCCTGCAGAGTATTTGGAAACCGGAAGAGGTAGCTATTATGCATTGTAGAGCCCACCAAAAGGGGAAAACAACTCCCGAGTTGGGAAATCATTTTGCTGATCAAGCAGCAAAAAGGACTGCAGAAAAAGGCATCCTGGCAATAATACCACAAAAAGAAATTGATTTAACAAAATACACCCCTAAATATGATGAGAAAGACAATCAGTTAATTAAATCACTGAAAGCTGAGATCAAGGAAGGGGGGTAGGCTGTTACCCCTACTGGACAGGTTGTAGTTCCACCACTGCTCCTTAGAGAAATAGCTCTACAGGAACATGAGGCTACCCACTGGGGAACAGAAAACCTTCTAAAACATCTAAAGAATACAGTAATAGGGACAGGTATGACTGAAGTTGTGCAGTCCGTGGTAAGTAGGTGTGAAATCTGTAAGTTAAACAACCCTGATACAACTAAGAGAGTAGTACTAGGAGTAACAAAGGCTGGAGACCAACCTGGAGATTACTGGCAAATAGATTTTGCTGAGTTACCACCATGGGGGGGTACAAATACATACTTGTGTTGGTTGACACGTTCAGTGGATGGCCTGAAGCATACCCCTGTCGTACTAACACAGCGAGGGAAGTGGTAAAAGCTTTGCTCAACCACATAATTCCAAGATTTGGGGTTCCTCTAGGAATGTCATCAGATAAAGGAACACATTTTATTGCGACAATAGTGAAAGAAGTATGCCGCATCCTGGGAATTGTCTGGGACCTACATACCCCCTATAGACCTCAGGCTAGTGGCAAAGTTGAGCGAATGAATGGTACTCTGAAAATACAGATTAGCAAAATTTGTCAAGAAACATCTATGTCGTGGGTTCAAGCTTTGCCACTAGCTCTGCTGAGGATTTGTATCCAGCTGAGGTGGAGGGATAACATAAGTCCATATGAAATACTGTATGGAAGACCATATCAGGCACCACACATACCAGGGGACATACACATAAGAGGGTGAGCTGATTTACAAAAATATTTGATTGCTCTAGGCTTTACTTTACAGAAGCTCCAGAAAGTCATCGAGTTATCCAGACCCATAGGACTGGACACTCCTGCTCATCCATTCCAGCCAGGTGACTGGATCTATGTCAAGTGTTGGAACAGTGACCCCTTGCGAGCCAAGTGGAGAGGACCATACCAAGTCCTGCTGACTTCCCTCACCGCCGTCAAAGTTGCTGGCAGAGAACCCTGATTTCACTATTCCAGAGTCAAAAGAGCACCACCTTCTGGAACAACCAGCCAATCAGAACTGGACACCGACGAAGAAGATGTGGCATAGACTGTTTTTGCTGTGTATTCTGTTTGTGCTACCGGTAACTATGAACTGAGTTTGGGATCAAAAATTGCATGTGGCCCTAGTCCAAAATGTGTCTAAAATTCTTCGGAAAACGGAATGCTGGATTTGTACGCAAGTACCAGCAATTGATGATGAGGATAGTGACTGGCCTCTAAGTGGTATTTTACTAAATGAGACAAACTTTGGTAAGTCTATGATAAATCTCCCAGGAACCTGGAAGCCAGTTACAGAGGCTTATTATCCAGTGGCCCTAAGTAATGTGATTTCTAATCAAAATGTTGTTCCCTGCATGATTGTAAATGCTACAGGAAAAATTCTCCCTCCCTACTGTGATAAAAACAATTCAAAGGAAGGGGTAAATCCAGAAATAGTTGCAGGGATGGCACAGTTCCCTTTGAGACTAATTCCTCCTCAGGGTTCAGGATGGTACTGGATCTGTGAAAAGGAGGCCTGGAAAGTTTTGCCCCTTGATAAAGATCGTGCCTGCTCCCTAGGGGCAGTAATCCCAAATATAACAATTCTCGACCCAATTGATGAACAGGAATGGGATAAAATCTATCCAAAAAGAGTGAAAAGAATCCTCTTATTGAGCGCCCTACAATTTTCCACAGCATAGTCAGAGCCTTAGTCCCATCTTTAGGAGTAAGCGAATTGGAAAAAGCAATTGTAAACATTTCAGCTGTCATGGAAAACATTCAAGATCACACTTCAGATGCAATTGAAACCCTAAAAGAACAATTCCAAAGCTTGTCTCATGTAGTAATACAAAACCGAATGGCCCTCAATTTCTTGCTAGCCTCACAGGGAGGTGCATGTAAAGTTATCAACACCAGTTGCTGCTCTTACATAGACCAGACTGGTAGAATTAGTAATGATTTGGCCGCAATTCAAAATCAAACCAAAATCTTGCACCAGATATCTCTGGATGATGTCTCCCTGGGTTTAGGAGATGTCCTCCACAAACTCACTTCATGGTTACCGAATTGGACTTGGATGAGACAACTGTTTATTTTAGTAATGTACATACTTAGTGTTAGTATAATAACTCACTGCATGTACCGATGTTATAGTTGTTGTAGGTGTAAGTAGTAGAGATTGGACAAGACCTTTGGGTTTTGTCCAGTCCCTAAGGGGGGACTGATGCCTTAAGCCCCTATTAGTTTTTTGTGTTTCTAATTTTTGTAAGTTTTATAAGTAGTAGAAGTAGATTTTAAAAGCAGTAGCCCTCACACCCTTTCCCTGTAGTACAAGTAGTTTACACATTCCTTAACCCTCTTACCCCGTTCTATGCTCCCCATATCAAATCTACCCCTGAATTCAGTGGCAGTGTTTAGTGTCTTGTCAAGGCAAGGCCTATACTGTTTAGAGAACACCCATATCAGGGCCTGAACAACAAAACAGAGTCAAGAACTAGGTGACTATGTACCCTTTGTGCTCTGAAGATGGTGAAGATGATGAAGAGGTGGTCTTGAAATGCACCCCAGACTCAATTCTCAGGGGGTGGACCCGGGGCGGACCGGACCAAAGGCTACGGGGTGGACACACTTGGGATTGGACAGATGGTATTATAAAATGTAACATCTCAGGCACAGCTGCGCGTGCGTCTTGTAACATCTATTGCCTTGGCACAATTAAACCCTTTCCTTATCTCACTCCTAATTAACTGCTCCGAGTTTTTTTTTCTTTAGTACCAAACGAGCAGGCATCTTCTAGGAGTAAGCGAATTAGAAAAGGCAATTGTTAACATTTTGACTGTTATGGAAAACATTCAGGATCATACTTCAGATGCGATTGAAATCTTAAAAGAACAATTCCAGAGTTTGTCTCATGTAGTAATACAAAATCGAATGGCCCTCAATTTCTTGCTAGCTTCCCAGGGAGGCGTGTGTAAAGTCATCAACACCAGTTGCTGCTCTTACATAGACCAGACTGGTAGGATTAATAATGATTTGACTGCAATTCAAAACCAAATCAAAATTCTGCATCAAATATCTCTGGATGATGTCTCCCTGGTTTTAGGAGATGTCCTCCACAAACTCACTTCGTGGTTGCTGAGTTGGACTTAGATGAAACAGCTGTTTATTTTAGTGATGTACTTAGTATAATAGCTCACTGCATATACCGATGTTATAGTTGTTGTAGGTGTAAGTAGTAGAGATTGAACAAGACCTTTGGGTTTTGTCCAGTCTCTAAGGGGGGACCTGATGCCTTAAGATTCTTTTTTTTTTGTTTGTTTGTTGGTTTTTTTTTCTAATTTTTTTAAGCTTTATAAGTAGTTATATAGTAGAAGTAGACTTTAGAAGCAGTAGCTCTTATTCCTTTACCCTTTAGCACAGTAGTTTACACATTCCTCAACCCCTACACACCCTTGGGGCCAAGGATCCAAACCTAGCTGCTGTTGGTGCTGATCTTCAACAAGACAACTCTGGATCCCTTTCCCCACCCACGACGTGGGGGAGCCCAGTTCTAGTTCCATCTCCATCTGACGAACCATTCTGACGTCTTGAGGGATGGGGAAAAGGAACTCCAGGGATTTCTTCAGGTGTTTCAGGCCCTGAGCCTGGAGGGGAGAGGTGCCCTCCCCCCAGCACCCACGTGGTCCCATGGCAGGCACAGAGACAGCACACCGGCGTTGAGAGGAGGCAAGAGAGCGTTTATTGTTGGGAAGGGGTTTATAAAGTTTTTAGGAGGGTCAAAGGGAAACCAATCACAAGTTCAGGGTCACACAGAAAAAACCATCAGGTAAAGGGTCAACAGCCAAGAGGAAGGGGTTAACAAAGGACCAATGAGAAACACCTCAGGACACCTTCCCAGGACACTCTGTATGGAAGACAATAGCCCTTCTCAGGGGGGTGTTGGGAAGAGGGAGGCAGTGACACTGCAGAAAATACAAAAAGCCATTTTGAAACATGTTTAAACCAATTTCTCATCAGATTCACTGCTACAACAACAGCCTTCGAAAAATAAACATGGGCTACATATATATATATAGATACGAGTGAGATATAGATGTTGCGTAAAGAAATGATATGGAATAAGGGGTGGAGAATGTAGTGGGTTGGTTTCTTGGATTTTTTAGGCTTTCCTTAGCAACGGGGTCAGAGATCTAAGGAAGTATTCCATATCATCTCTTTCCGTAACACAGCGTATAAAAAGGCGCAGATAAGAGAGTTCGCTCTCTTCTCTCTTCCGGTGGCTGAAGGCAGCAGGTCTCTCCGCAGACGGGCTTGCTTGTATAGGCCAGGGCCTGCTGCTCAGACCTGCTGTTATCTCCGATCTCTCTGAGAGGCGTGGGGGAGTTGGCTGCTGCCTCGCACAGTTCTGCTGTCCCGTTCAGGGAAGTATTTAATTAGTTGTTTTGTATTTATTCACTAGCTCTATAGTAATGGGTATATTTAGAAGATATTTGGTTTTAGTTCTTTTATCCCTGCTTCCCCCTCCCTTTTTCCCTTTCCCTCCCCCCCCCCCCCCCCCCAGGAGCTCCTTATTGTGTATAATATATTCAAATTGTATATATAATTGCAAATATATGTAATATATAGATATTTGATATAATCCCGTTTTGTTCAGACCTCTTTCAGTTTTTTTTCTGTGGTTCGTTTTTTTTTCCCTCACCTGGGGAGAGCGGGAGGGGGAAGGAGACAGCCTGGACTTGGCAGGAGAGCCAGGCCAAACTGATACAGTATTCTAAACTATTTTACTATAATCCCTCTTCTACATAGGCTGAGCTCTGAGGGCATTAGTTTACTATTTATTATAAAGGAGTTAGCTACATTGCCCAGTGGGCTTGCAATCAGCACATATGCCAAAATAATAGATAGAATAGCACAAACAGTACCTAGACAAATTGGTACCGTCAAAGTCTACAGAAACATTGGAGAAATCTAATATGGAAAGTACTTGTACAGGGTCTGGCTGAGTGTGGTAGAGTAGAGGAGGGAAGACTCTTGGTCAGACACGAGTAGTATGACACGAGTAATATGACACTGATTATGTGGATGATTATGATTAGTTTTATTGCTAATACAGTATATAACATAAACAGGTCTATAGGGTTGTAATATAAGCATGTTTGGCTAGAAACATACAGGTTTACAGTCTTTGACCTTGCAGAATGCAAAATTACAAAGCATCAAAGCACCTATGGGAGCTACTTTGGGATTTTATCTCCATACATGACCAGATTTCACTCTTTTCTTTTTCACACTTTTTTCACACTTTTACTTACCCATCCAAAAGTGACTGTTTCCCATCTTCAGGCTGGACATACCCTGCAGGCATCCCTGTTAAGGGGAATATCCACACAGAAGCTGCCTGCAACCTCGGGAGACCAGTTTACCCAGGTGGCCCAATCTCCATCAGCATTTCATACCCTTTTGCAGGCAGATGTGTACCAAAGTCGTTTGCAATCATCACAGCTCCCCCGTCTCTGGAATGTATTCGTTATGCAACTGTCCAGACAGTTCCTTCTGCAATTCCCACCTGATGTTCTTAGGAGGAATAACAGTGCCCATCAGAGACAGCAAGAGGGAGTGTGTGTGTGTGTAGGATGAATAAGAAGACCCAACTATCTTTTGTTGCTGTTCCATTGGGATGGAGTTCATATTAGCCCATATGATGCTGTGCTTTGCACTTGTGACTACAATAATGTTGATAGCACACCATTGTTTTGGCCATTGCTGAGCAGTGCTATCACAGCATCAAGGCTTTCTTTCCAAACCACTCCTCCGAAGACCAATAGGCAAGATGTTGGAGGGGACACAGCAGGTAAACCAACATCACCTGACCAAAATGATGTCCCGTACCATATGATATCATGCTCAATACAACAAAGCTCAATTTTAAAAGGTTACTGATTTTAGGCATTTACTAGAGATAATATTAAAAGGTCTGATTGTTTAAAGATAACTTGTTCAGCAGTCCTTGAAAATCAAGTCCCTCTTAAAATCCTGCATATAAGAATGAGTATATAAAGCCGCTTGCATTAGCTCCTAAATTTATTTGTGTGGGTGGATATTTGAACAGCAGTGTGTACCTCCTAACAAAAGTAATAGCAAGATGAGCAAGTTTGGAAGTCTATGATACTTTTCTTTCTGATGGCAAAACAGGTAAATTACAGAGCTATAGGAAAGATTATTGCTGGTGACTATCTTTATGTTATGTATTTGTGCTCCATCTACTGAGCAGTAATACAATGTGATTTTTCACAACTTCTGCAGGCTTGTCTTCACTCAAGCACGTGTAGTCATTACAGTGGTCTACTTCATCATAGATACACAGCATAATTTTTTGCTTCCTTGGGATACAATTAAACATTTGTGGATATTGAAGATTCTATTTATCAGTGCATTGTTTTAAGTTTTAAAATTTGGTGGCTGTGCAATTAGTGTAACCAAGTGACAGATGGAGTGCAGCATGATTATAATTCTTGTTTTTTTGGAGGCAATTAACAGTGAATGGAGAAGGTGCTAATTACTGTAGCTGGTTGCAATGCACTACCTAATTTCTTGCCTTTGCTAAGCTTGCAGAGGAACCTAGATGTTTTTTTGGAAGTTTGGCAGTGTAAATTCAGTGCTAACTTCAGTGGTGTAGGCAATTTTGTAGCAAATTTGTCCTTGATACCTCTTTGCTCATTGCTCTTCCAACTTCAGGAATAGAAGTATTCTTTTATTACTGTTGACTTTGTAAGAAGCAGTTTTTTGACCAGCCTGGGATCACTTTTTATGTATTTATTAATGTCTGGAAAGAAACAAAGGCAACCTAGAGAAAAAAGAAGCAGCCATTATTTTTTCTTTCCCATTTATATATTTACTAGAAATTATGGAGCAGAAAATCATGGGATTGTTGCGTTGGTTTTTGCTGGGATAGAGTTAATTTTCTTCATAGTAGCTGGTATGGGGCCATGTTTTGGATTTATGCTGCCAACAGTGTTGATAACTCAGGGACGTTTTCTTTATTGCTGAGCAGCACTTGCACAACATCAAGGTTTTTTCTGCTTTTCCTATTGCCTTAACAGCAAAGAGGCTGGGGGAAAAAGAAGTTATGAGGGGACACAGCTGTGAAAGCTATGAAAGCTGACTCCAGCTGACCAAAGAGACATTCTGTACCTTAAGGTGTCATGCTTAGCATATAGAACTGGGGGAAGAAGAAGGAAGGCACAGGGGATGTTTGGAGTGATGGTGTTTGTCTTTCCAAGCCACTGTTAGGCATGATGGAGCCTTGCTTTCCTGGGGATGGCTCAACACTTGCTCTTTGGAAGTGGTGAATGAATTCCTTGTTCTGCTTTGCTTGTGCACACAGCTTTTACTTTACCTATTAAACTGTCTTTATCTCAACCATGGGTTTTCTCACTTTATTCTCCTGATTCTATTCCCTGTCCCTCTGGGAGCAAGCAACTGTGTGGTGCTTAGTTGCCAGCTGGGGTTAAACCACAAAATTTGTATAATCTAAAATGGAGATGAGGAAGAAGATCTATATTACCTCTTCAACATCAGTAAAACAACCTACCATTGAAGAGAATATCTGATTTTACAATTCCACGCCGGAATAGTGTCAGCCACATGTACTCAAGGATACCTAAATCATCAAGGTGGTTTTGAGTAACTTTCCACAACTACTTGTCAAGGCAACTTCCAATAACTTCTGTGAGTAAAATACTGCTGTGGTGACCTTTAATAATAGCTAAAATACAGGGAGAGGCAAAGGGAGTGAATTCCTGGACAAGGCTTCGCTCGCACCTGAAAGTCACATCAACCCATTCAGTGCAACATTCAGCTTCCATTTGTTTGAATCTGTTCAAATCTGTTCCTTGAAACTTTTTTATATTCCTAATCTGTGGTCAAAGTGCCCTTGAAGAGAAAAAGTCATATCAGAAAACAAATTGTTTTGAACCACTTAGGGCCAAATTTACCATTATATGCTTTAAAGATTGGGTAGAGTGCTCCTGTGAAAAGCTGGAGGCTGGAATTTTCGTTAAAGCTGTGGCCTGTTGATATTATGAGAACTCCCATTGCTTTCTCTGAAATCAATCAGTATTTCTGAGTGTAAGGATAGGTCACTGTGCTTTCTCTGCCAATAACAGTTAAACTAGACATGCTGCTCATTCATAATTTAAGGTAAATGTATTCAGAAGTATGTCTATCTTCCATCACTCAACAAATTTTTCTTAAAGTTTTCTAGTTTTTTTTTTGCTTGATTTTAATTGTAAAATCCCAACGTGACTTTTGTGGTTTTAGAAGATAACAAATTACTTCAATCTTGTATACTTATTTTTTTCTCCATACTGAAAGCAAACAGTAGAATTTCTTCTAATGGGAAGCTTGAAATTTGCAAAATGCTATTAGTTTGTTCATGTTATTTCTAAGAAACAAGCTTACTAATCTTATGGATCAAGCAGAGGGCACTGGCTTCCCAAATGCTCATTGAAACAGAAACTATTAATGAAGTAACTTTTTAATTGGGATTAACGAAGGAAAACTGGGGATAGTGGAATATATTTACATGTGTTCCTTTAACTTCTCACCCCTGAGAGAGAAAGGCAAGTGACATTATAGATATTGTGTACTACCTGTGGTTTCCTGCTTTCTCCTGCTCCAGTTGCACTGTCTGAATGTTTTCTCCAGTCCACTGTGATGATCAGTCCTCAACGTGTGTCTGCTCCTGGCACAGATAAAACACTTTACCTCTTAACACCTTACATATCCTATATGGAGCACAAACTGAAAAAAACGATATAGCAGCAATCAGAGGCTAGCAAAAAACTATCTTATTAACTCAAAAACTCTGACTTTCAAAATAAGTGGTAAAGTTTGTTTGTCTGCTTTTTTCCCCAAGATGCAACCTTGTACTGTATTGTAACAGAAGCTTTTCCCCACAGATCTCCTATGCTGCTCTGGAACCACAGGCTGATGCTCACTTTCTCACCCACAGCATTGGATGGAACAGTGAATGATATAACCTCGCTGAACCACTACCCCGTCCTGCTCTTGAACAGGCCCTGAGATGAAAATCCACTCCTCAGTGAGCTTCAATGTCTGCATGTCTCTTACAGAGCAACCTAATCTCATGTGAATAAGTGAAACCTTTGGCTGCCAGCAAGAAGCACTTGAAAGAAGCATTAATTATTAATAGTAATATTACTTCTTTTTTTTTTGTAAACAACAAACCAAGTGCAATTAGTGCTAAAAGAAAAAAATAAACACAAAAAGGTATTTAGATACAACAATTGTTTCCAGGGAGAAATACCAGAGCACAGATTCTCTTAGAAAGCAAAAAGATGGTGTATTTTAATCAAGATTTCAGCATCAGACCTAAAAGAAGGTTTCTCTACCCCTCAACAAGGGCAAAAAGTGCCTTGCTGACATAGTTACCTTGCCTTTTTTCAGGCAGCAAATAAAATAGTCTGAACAAATACGTCATTTCTCCTCTAAGAGGTTGTATGAGCATCCAAATGCTCAGTTTTGTACAGGGCTTACCTGTAGACAACACTTGTTTTGTGTTAGTGTCATTAGTCATGTGAAAGTGGTACAGCTTCTCGCTGAAGGTGTAGTTGTACTGTTACAGGCCATTTACAGATGCAAAAAGACAGATGTTATACACAGAAGCATCTCTACCCATTCAAGTACAACCAGGTGTGCCAGGTGAAACTGTCCTGGCAAAGATGTCACATCTCTAATTGATATATCTTTCCTAAACTAAATGAAGAAAGCTGAACTGGAATTCGATCTTCCGATTATGATTGTGTCTCCTCCTTAATAATGGGCTGTGCTTTGGTAGGTACAAAAAACATCTTCTATGCCTCTGTATTCCTGCTAACAGATGTCATTTGTTAGCAAACACATCAGATAACTTCAGAGAACTTTAGTTATACCAAAGGAATAGGAAGGATACAACTCCCCACCCACCCACCCTCACCAAAACCAAGCAAAAGAAAAAATCAACCCTCCAGGTGCCAATCCCTATTATATTTTCATAACTCTAGGCTGGAAAATATGTAGGGCAAGGTTTTCTAAAATGTATGCCTGGAGTTAGCCTTTAAGTCAATACTTAATGACTCAAACATATGTCTTTAATCTCAAAAGTAATAATCATTGTACTGTTAATGAAAATCTATTCTGAAATACCTCTTGGAAAAAAAAAATCAAGAATTCAATGATTTTGTAGGTCAACTTCAAGAAACATAAATAATCAGAAGTTCAGAATAAAGTAAAAAATGGGCTGACAGAATAGAAGAAAACATTTTGGACAGGGCTAAGATATTAATATCCAATGTATTTTGGTTTTATTGGCTGGGCGTGGTGGACACATATTCACATGCAAAAAACTTTATTAACACAATTGCAAGTAGTTGGAACATTAGCCTACAATATTAAAATTGGCAAGAATCTGAGCTGGAAAGGATGTAAGCGCTGCAGTTTGACATGGCAGTAAAGTTACTGTTCTGATCCTCTGTTAAGAATCTGTCTGTGATGCAAAGCTCTGATGCAATACAGACTCATTCAGCTAGTTCAAATTTCTTTAAACAATTTTGATAGGTTAACTTGATAGTGGCATGCTTTAGGGCAGTGCTTAAATTGCCTGTCCACCCTGTTCCAGCTCTTTATCATGTCAGACATTGATTATCCCATTGTAGAGCATAAACACTACACTGTGTGCTAAATCCAGCACAGACCATAAGGATAAAAAAACATATCTCCCGCAAAATCAGGTGTCCTGACCTTCTTCTCACTGCATCCTCTAACTTGTAGGGGCATGTCACCTCAAGCAATTCCCGTGGCCTTCTTGTTATTTTTTGGCACTTTGCATGCTCACTGTGTTAATCTCAAAATAATTTAAAAAGATGTTTCTTGCATCTAGTTACTGACAAATTTACTGTCTTTTAGAAAGACTTTAATAAAGATGGAGAGGTGGAAATTTTATTAGTTGATTAAAATCTGTCTCACAAAATCTGGAATATTAAACTTTCATTTGCCTTTGTATTTTAATTAATTTTATTATTTATAACTGAGAAGCACTGCAATTTTTTTTCTAGTCTTGTTTAGTCTGCTGAGAATAGACTTTTATAAATCTGAAAAAAAAGACTGTGTGCTACTGTTTTGTTTTCTCATTGCTATTGTCACTTCTTTAGTAGTAGTTAATTTTAACTCAGCACCAAAAGGTTGCAAACCTCAAACTGAACATGCTCAATGAGATAATTAATTTTCTCTAGTTTGTTTCTCACTGTGTATTAAGACAAAGCTCCAACTGTCCTACTGCTAAGCCTGACTTCAGGTGGTATTGGTAAGTATATACTTTGTGTTGCCTGTTTTTCAAAAGTGATGGTATCATTGAACTTGATAATGTTGGTTCTGCAGGTCAATACTAATTCTGTTCCTAAAATTGAGATGTATACTAAGCAAGTGCATTTCTTTCTCATTTCTGGAAATGAGGCTTCTTTTGTTTCATCATTTGAATAAGATCCTCTGAACTTACTCTGCCTGCAAATTTATTCTCTAGAAAAGAGTCAGGAGACTTGCAAGTTCTCTTTGTCCTGATTGTTCTTATTGATCTAAACCTTTGGATTAACTTGTCTCCTTCCCTTAAATAAAAAATATTTGCATATATATATCTAAATTGACTACACAGCTGCTACTTTCCCTGAATCTTCTTTTTTTTTTTTTTTCCCAGAAGAAGTAAGTTCTTTGCTACAAATTTGTGCATCTGTAAGTGTTCAGACTTTAGTTGTTCCTTGCTGGCTTTCAGGGAATTTGTCACATGAGCTAGTCATTGACAGACCAGTATGTATCTGCAAAAATATACTTGGTTTTGCGAATCATAACCATGTTCTGTAACTGCATGACATTAGTGACATTAATGGAGTCATACTAACAAGGGCAATCCTTGCTGTTTAAACTTCTTTTACGATGTTGGTGGGGGCTTTATATGTCCATGGGACAGTACACATAAGAGTACACAGCAGTACAAACATAGTCTCTAGAACTAAAAGGTTATGTTGCTTTTGTGGTCAAACTGCTGCTCCATCAATGTGTCTTATATGGGCATGTGGAAAACAGGAGGTCCTGTCATGGTGATGTTCTGCTGTAAGGTCTACACAACTGCATCTTCCCTCTCAACTCCCTAGGAATTTTCTTGAAGAGTGCTTGAGCTTTCTGTCTGTCAACCCTGGAGACCATGAGGGCTGGTGACTCAAATACAGATTCACAGGAAAAATTTAGTTTGATTTTTCCTTAAGATTAAAGCTTAATTTTTTCCCCAGAAGTTTGAATCATCTATCTTTCATCCCCCAAATGGAAATATTTCAACCCCTGCTTTCAATCAGCTATACAATTTGATGTGCATGTTAGGCATTCAGTGGCTTTAATAAGCATGAGGGTCACTTTTTCAAAGACGCAGGTTTTCACCACTTTGAAGTCTGTGATGTTTAGCCAGCATCGACCTCCACACTGCAATTAATGAGAAGCTCAACAAAAGAAAGTGAGAAAAATTGTAGATGCTGAACAATTTTTTTCTTTTTATTTATCAGCCATTAGAGATGTAGAAATGTAATTTAGTTGAGAAACCATTGCATAGTCCATCTTAGCTCTTGCAGAAATTGCTTTTCCAGTTGATCCAATAGCAAGTGATTTCTTGGAGACACAAATCTGCAATTTCTCTTAGTCTGAGTAATTAAACCATACACTGGGCTTTCTGGGTTAATTTTCATCAGAACTAGGGTTTGCTCTAGAGACTGTCCTCTCTCTGAAGTCATACTATGTTTCTTGTGTTGTGGCTGGTTTGTTTGTTTGGCAGGGGGGAGAGTGGGGGGAAGGAGAGAAAGGAAAGGTTTTTTTGATCATGTTTCAAAATGTGCCAAAAAGAAAATGTCTTCTGGTCTTCTTTTGTAACTAAGCACTTTGTAAGCCCAGGAAAATCAGAAACGTACATCATATCAGCAGCCTCACCAAATCAGTATGACAAGTATTTTCTCAGGTTCTGCTTCACTTTTAATGCTGGATTAGACATCAGGGCACGTGGTTCCTGCTTTTGTGAGGGATTAATTATGCTTGAAATCTTAAATGCCAGGAATCTTGGGGGCTTATGAGAGTCACTTGATTTCTGTACGTCAGCAAACAGCTTGCCATTGAGGAGACTGTTTTAGTGTAAACTAATTTAAATTCTCAATGGTACAAGTGAATGCACTGGGCACTGCAGTGTAGAAGATGATGTTATGGGTTCAGACACAATACTGAACTACTTTCCTTTCTGCAGATCTGTTTATTTCCAGCGGACATAATTTGCCTTTTTAATTTTGACATCTTTTCATTTCAGCCATAGCAATAATCTACACTTTCACTCCTTAGTGGGTGAATTCTAGAAGAAAAATAATTCCAACTTCTGAAAAAATGTCAGGTTTTTTTTTCATTTAGGATACAGTGATTGAAAAAAAAATCTTGACATTAAAAAAAAAAAGATACCATTAATTGCAAGCCTTTATTGTAGGAAAAATCAGGAAAAGTAGTATAGTAAGAGCCTGAGAGAAAAAAATTGAGTTCTGAGCTAAATGGCTATTATTTAATTCTAATTTTTGGTGGATTTAGACACCTTGTTAAATAGGAAATTGTTGCATTTTTATCAGCCTGAACAGAGAGTGAGGAAAGGACCTCTATATCAGTACAGAAATCTTAGATTAACACTAAATACTGCTTCTTAAGAGGCAATTGTTAATATTGCTGCCATAGCATTCTTGAAAAATTGCCTCGGTAGCACATATATCTATGTTTAGTTATCATATGCATTGAATAAGAGACACTTGCACTTGCCACGATGGGAACTGCATACACACATTACTGCATCTGCAGTTTTCCCTGTGTAGCAATGTCGCTTTGTGGGTATAGTGAATTAATAATTATTCTCACTGTGTGTCTTCTTGAGGTTTTCCTTGAGCTTTTTTTTTACCTTTCTGTGGTCATGCTGTGCTAAAATGCCAACACCTGACAAGAGAGACAGCATAGGACAAAAAGGCACTGAGTGGTCAGGGCCCTCTGCTCAAATCAAGCAGCCAGCTCAGGATGGGAAACACACCACTCCCAGGGAAGGGTTCATGTCGAGCTCCTGTGCTGGGAAGAGGGAAGTAAGCAGCTTTTCAAGGGATCTCTTTATACCAGAAGTTTATAAAAAAACCCCAGAAATCAGAATCTGTCACTCATTTTGAGGAATGCATGCTTCTTTATTCTGAAATAAAGTGTATTTGAGTATATATTTCACACTAAAATAAAGTAGGGAAGGATGATCTAAGCACAGTGCACTGTGTTTGGAAGGTTTACTCTTTGCTAGTGATTTCTATTCTCTTGGCTTTTATCTATTAATGTAAATATAACAATGTGCTCAGACACTGTGCAATGCCTGTTTGTATATGTATTTTCACATTTGTTTCATGACAAAGATGCAAACTCTAAACCAGGGAGTTCACAACTTTAATGAAAGTTAAGGAAAGGTGGAGTTAAACTGCAAGAGAAGCCGGAACTGGATCATGAGAGAAGACAGAAGAGAAGCAAAGTCTGAATTTCAGAACTGGTCTGTATCTTAGGGATGTGTGAAACTACACTAGGGCAGAAGAAAGGCTCCTGGCTTCTCATCAACCTGAGGAAGTTTTAAGATTTAGTGTGTAGGTCATGTGCTAGTGATACAGATGAGAAGAATAGTGAATCATGGTTGGCTTGTACGGTCCTTTAAAAGGTCTTTGCCATCGAAAGGATGGCTCTGTTCCTTGAGCCAAAGGAAATAGCTGGTAAGTTGCCACCACAGAGCAGGTCTCTTAAAAACAGAGAGCCCCATGCCCGTCCCAACAGAAACAAAATGTGTCTTTGGTTGTACTACTTCTTAGATCCCATCAAGAAAATTGCAAATAAAGTCAACTATTTCTTGCTGGGAAATGATGTTGGAGCACACCTGCAGCAGAAAGATCTGTTTGTATATATATATATCTGTATTGGTATATGGGTGGTTGGAAGACCCACCAGGCAGCAAATGTGTTCCTAACACTGGTGTTACAACTGGGCTGGAAAAATGGGGAATTGTCAATGTGAAGTGTCAATGTGAAGTTGTACTAGATGATTATTGTAGGTCCCTTCCAACCAAACCATGTTATACCGTGCTATGATATTCTAAAGTAATATCTAGGGCTTTTCTGCTCAATATTAAAATATGATCAGCTTTCATTGAATTGCCTGGGATCATTAACAAAGTTAAAATATTCAAACACTGAAGACTGAATTGAAGACCAAGGAGCTGAATTATATAGCAAATTAGCAACATTTTATATGCAAAAAAAGAGATTCTCATGCACAAGCATTTTATGAAACAAATGAACAATATGCTCTTAATGTTTGTCTTTGCCATACTGACAGATAAGCTTGCAGAAATAAGACATGAAACATGTCATTGAAGTAACACTTTTAATCGCTCATTTTTGATAATTGTGGTAATGAATGAAGACATGTTAAGTACTCTCTGTGGTTTAGCAAGAAATACTTGCACAGAATCACAGAATGAGTCAGGTTGGAAGGGACCACAACTGGTCATCCAGTTGAACCTCCCTGCTCAGTCAAGACCATCCTAGAGCACATTGCAAAGGATTGCTTCCAGACAGTTCTAGAATATCTCCAGTGAGGAAGAACCCACAACCTCCCTGGCCTCTGTTCCAGCACTCAGTCACTTGCATAGGAAAGAAATTCTTCCTCATATTTGGGTAGAACTTCCTGTACACCAGTTTCTGTCTGTTGCCTCTTTTCCCATTGCTTGGAAACACAGAAAAGAACCAGGCTCCATCCTGTTGACATTATCCCTTCAGATACTTACACGCATTGATGAGGTCCCCTCGTCTCTTCTTGAGGCTGAACAGGCCCAGCTCCCTCAACCTTTCCTCATGAGAGAGATGCTCCAGGCCCTTAAACATCTGTGTAGCCCTCTGCTGGACCTACTCCAGGAGCTCCACATCTCTCTTGTACTGAGGAGCCCAGAAGTAGACTCAGCACTCCAGACCTACACACCAGGGCTGAGTAGAATGGAGGGATCAGCTCACTCGACCTGCTGCCAATGCTCCTCCTAATGTACCCCGAGATCCCATTGGCCTTCTTGGCCACAAGGGCACACTGCTGGCTCATGGACACCTTGTTGTCCACCAGGACTTCCAGGTCCTTTTCTGCAGAGCTGATTTCTAGAAGGTCAGCCCCCAGCCTGTCCTGGTGCATGGGGTTATTCTTCCTCACATGCAGGATCCTGCATCTGCCTTCAATGAATTTGGGACAGTTCTTCTCTGCCCATCTCTCCAAACTATTGAGGTCCTTCTAAAGGGTTTCACAGCACTCTAGGGTGTCAGCCAGTCTTCCCAGAAAAAAGTATCTAGTAAGAACCTGCTAAATGGTTTGTTTGCTTTATTTCTTTACCCCAGTCTATTTGTAGATTATTGAATTACTCTTCTGTCAGAAAGTTTCCACAATCTTCTGCTGTTCATCAGTGCTTTGTGTAGTCTGCAGCTGGCAAATTTATGTGATTCACCAGGTCTGTACTTCTGACCCACCCTCTAATAAAATTCTAGGGGATAATTCATTACTGGAATTGGCTCTAATTAGAGACACATAAAAATGATGGTTACTACACCTCTTATTACTCTTTTACGGTTTAGGAGGCTATTTACAGCATCATCCAGTTAAGGTTATTAAGATATGTCTTTCTTAACTGCCTTATACTCTTTCTCAGCTTTCTACTCTAATGCAAGGAGGACCACAAATAGGTACTGAGAGTGACAAGAGATGATCTCAAACCATTTTGAAGGCTCAGATGAAAGGGTTGATAAACAAAAGTGCTAGTGTAGTGCAGTCATAATAAGTATGGCTGATCCTACCCTTTAACAGGGCACAGCTTGTGTGATATTTTGATGTCTTTTCACAGTATTGCTTTTCTTTTTGAAAAAAAAAAATCAAATGTTGATTTGAAGATTATGGTCGTGATGTAAAAGAAAGTGTTCACTATGCCACAATTTACTGCAAAGCCTAACTTTTAGGTTTCCAGCTGTTCCCTTGAAAAGCAAGGGGACTGAACTATAGTTTACCACCACCTCATCCAGTTTTCTTTATTTAAGGACAAGAAGTAATGATGCCTTTTTTTTTTTTTAATTTCAATTAATTGCCTGTCTTTATTAAAGGCTAACTGGCTGGTAATGATGGGGAGGTAATAGCGGGGACCTTGATGAGGCTCAGACAAGGCTACTCAGCACAGAGGTCAAAAGAAATAATTTTCTCAGTCTGAGAAATTAGAGAACATTTGTTATGTGATTCAAAAGGCCATGATCTTCCCTTTTGGTGATCCATGCCTTATCTCTTGCAGCAGTCTGCAAGAGATCTCTGTGGCCATGAAATATGCTAATGACAGCATAGGCAAGAAGTAGAGAGAAGAAGGATTTCATAAACAGGCCAAGAGCACCAATCCAAAGAAATGTTACGAAGAACAAATGTATTTTCACCAATAGATAAAAATAGCTTCAGAAGGACATTGGAATTGAATTGCTTGAATGTAGTAGCACTGGACAAGTTTGGTAGATTTGTATTAACCTCACTAACACTCATCTCTGAACCTGTTAAGATTAGAACAGATTAATACCCGAATGCATCTGAGCGTAACTAGCTCTTCTTACAGAAACGTCTTTGGGGGCATGTGCAGGTTCTGCTGTTGACCCCATTTATATATTTATTGATAAAATCAGTATCTTGCTGTTGTGAATTGCATGCAATTCCCTGCTGGTTTTGACATGGTGTAACTTGACCTACATGTCAGGGTAGTTCCAGTGGATGTGCTGGATGAAGGGGAGCTCTGGCATGATTGCCAGTGGTGCTGATGGCAGGCAGGGGCTGGCTCTTTCTGCCAGGGGCATTGTTATGGCTGCTTTTGAAGCCTAAGAGGCAGATATGTATCTGAAGCGGCTTCTACTCTCTCTCACCACTTCACAATTGAAAAAAATGGCATTGGACAGAAACAGGCCCTGGCATCTCTTTCTCTGCTGAAACCCTATTTCACTTCTTTCTTCTGTTCACTGATGTCTTTCTGTAACACTTTCTATCTCTTTTCCTGGAACCCAAAGAAATTTCTTGTTGAGTTCAGTGAAACGGGATTCTAGCATTTAATTTTTTCTTTACACCATGTAAGATGTTACATGAAGTATATAAAAAAGACCTCTTCCTAAGGATACATTTTAGTGTCACTTTTGGAATGACCATGGACCTCAGTAGCACTGTCAATGGCTCCAGATCCAGGCTCCTTGACGTATGCCCAACTGTCCTTGTTTCTATGCTGCAGGGAGACCTGTGAACCTGTACCCCAAGGCCCCCGTTCAACCTCTCTTCCTCTTTGCATCTGTGAAAAGAAAATGGTGGACTGAGAACAGAACAGGAGCTTCAGTGTATTCCTCAGGGTGCCCGGGTCAGGTCCTGTACTGTGTTGGTACAACCTATAGCTAAATACCAGTTCAGGCTTTGGGATGCATACATGACCGTTTGCTCTCACTGACAGTCCAGATATGACCTTTGTGACCTTGGAAGACACTGAGTGCCAACTTGTTGGTAGAGTTAGAGAATTTATTGAACTGAAGAGTCAAGGGAGCTGAACACTAAAGTCATGAACATCTGAAAGACAAACCTATTCATTCAGGAGTCCTCCAGCTGGAAGGTGAAGGCATTCTTGGATTCTTCCCAAGGGAATCCAAAGATCTGCTCCTGTACCCCTTTACTTAAAATCCTCATAACTCACCTGCATGCCTTCACCCACTGCTACTTCATGTCCCTTTTGTTATTTGCTTGTGGACCCATAACATTTATAGCTGTTTACTGCAGCAATATAATGACAAAATTCTTTTTTTTTGGGGTGGGGTGGGGGAGGGAAGTATTTTTCCATTTTATCATCTAATATAAAAAAAAATTCATCTGTACCACTACCCATTTTGCAGGCAGGCAATTTTTCTGCAAGCTTTGTAAACAAGGGAGTTTCTTTGCATAGCATAGACACTTGTACCAAGATTTATGCCTGCAGTGTCTGGCTTGAGGAACAAGAATCCAAAGGCTGATTCATAATTTTTATATGAGAATCTTGGCATTGCTCTAAGGAATAACAGCCAAACCATCCAGTCTGATGTGTGATTTATTTCTTGTAATTGGCTGGTCTACCAAGTCCTACCAGGTACATTGAGAACTTTTGTAAAGGCAGCTAAGTTGGTTGCCAAGAGCTCTGTTAAACTGAACACACAGAGAAATTTGTAAATGGAAAGAATAGAATAAATAGAATAATAAACAACATCAATAACAAAGCAATTTGCTGCAAGAGACGTAATTGGAAGTGGAAAGAGCACAACGTCTGCACAGTTCTTTCTAGATATAAGAATACCAAAAGAAGTAAAATTTTACCGTTAGGTATCTAATTTCCAAGGTCTGAAATGGGAAAATCAAAAGCTATGCAAAAGATAACCAAAGACAACCAAAAAAATGCTTTCCATTAAAGAACAGGAAGAGAACTGCAGGTGACCCTTCTCTATACTTTTCTTTTGGGCATAGCAAAGAGCTATGAGCTCAGAATTGGCACACAGGTGAGATACAGCAGGGAGTGTGTGTGTTGGCTAGCTGTCATCCACTCAGACTGAACAGCTGCACTTGAGCATAGTTTGCTACCTCTCGTTTGTGATAATCTAAATTCTCTTTCCCATACTGGGGAGAAGGGATAGGCAAATTTCATCTCCTGACTATATCTGCATAATGCTCGAGGAGACATTTTATTCAAAATAATAAAGATGCTTTTCACTGTCACCTTTGCTGCAGGGACTATTTGTACATAAGAATATTTCATACAATGGTTTCAATGCATAAACTTTAGCTGAACACTGAAAACAAACTGGCACAGAATATAGCAGTAAAATTAGTGTTTGGTGGTGGTGACTCTTTAAAAAAAATATTATAGGCTAAAAATGAGCATTTGAAACTGTTATACACCGCGAAAAAAACTCAACCCACTAATTTGTGGAAAAGTGGTGATTTGGAGATGCAGAGACTTTGTATACTGAATGGCATTTGACTAGCTGGTTAGTAACTAACATGGAGGGCATTTGGCAGTGTCAGGAAACTGTGTGCTTTGCATTCACCAGTCTACACACAGAAGCAGGGACGATTTGTTAAAGACTTGCACTGATTTTACCACCTTTTGGTTAAGGCCTAGAAGGAACATCAGCTGCCTGACTGCTAGACCCACAGAGGAACTTTAGCCATCAGAATACTGAGTGCTGAGTTTAATATCTCTTAGGTCCCATGAAACCTTGGGGAATTCACATACATTTTGGGAAGCCCTGGCTCCTGGCATGATACTGTGTGTTCCTTCCATTTCTACACTGAAACCTTGGTTCTAGCGAGGCAGACAGAACACGACCGTTTATTTGTTCTATTTTTTTTTCATGCAAATTATTTGAATATATCTTCTATTGGCATGATGGGTTTGACTGCATGTTCGCTGAGATTTGTAACAGTCGGTTCTTATTTCTGAAAAAAACCAAAACTGAATATAATACAAATGCTTACAACAGTAATAAACCTCCCACTTCAATAAGAGTCTTCTGTTCTCACCCCTTTTGGAGCACTATTGCAGCACGAACTTATTGGTAGTGTACTGGCAACAGTAAAGAAAACAAAAAAATAAAAAAAGAAACAACTCTATGGCTTTGGAAAGGAGCATGCCTAGTACATCTCCCCCTTTAATATTATCGAATGGTCCTAATGAATTTCAGATCAGAATCACTGTTCAGTTAGAAAGACAGGAGAAGACCACTAGATGGTGGTAAAAAACCAATCCTTTGCTATGAGATCTGTGGAAAGAGAAGTCCAGAGGGGCAAAGAAGGGGAGGAGGAGCCACAGTTTGAGTACTGAAGTCATTATTGCTTGGAGTCTATAAAAAGGCAGTTGCACAGTAAGTAATTTATACGCGATCAGCTTTGACTCTATGGATTTGCTCATTCCTTTCCCTCTATTTTTTTTTTTCCATCTATTCCCACCAAGGAATCCCCAGCCCCAGATGTTGGGAGAGGAGGGGGGCTGAAACTTCAGCTCTCTGGAGGAAAGGTTGCAGGCGATGAAGAGGAAGAGCAGCTGAAGGAGCAGCTCTGATAAATAGGTACAGTTAATTCTTCACTGCAAATAAAAAGCTACTTTAAAAACTGAAAATTGTTTAGCATTATATGCTTTGAATTTTATTTGCAACAAGTCACTGACAAACAACTCTAAGTGTTCCCCTTATTAAGAATAGAATGGCTTACAACTTGTCCTAAATATTGTCATTACAAAAAAAAATTGAATAAAATATTAATGATCTGGAATAGAAAACTTATGCTACAACGACTTCTAACCACACTAATTCTGTAACCTTAGTGTATCCTGAAATGTATGGATTTGCCTTGGTTAGGTGTTTAATACCATTAATGCTTTTAAATGAGCATAGTAGTATTGCACAGATAAACTGTTTATAGCAGAGTTCATGCAAACTTAAAAGTACAAAGGTCAGGAAAGCATTTAATTATATAACTGAAAATATTCAATTCTTAATTGTGACAATGATCAAAACTTCTATATATTGTATTCAAGTGAGCGATTTCTGCTGGACCTAATACTACATTCTCCTACATTTCTGGAGTCCGAGAGGCAGGACTGTGAAAACTGCTTGTTTGTTTTTTTCAGCAGAATTTCCAGGAAAATCTGGGGGATTCTTCCAGGGGACCAAATAGAATAAACAAAAGAATAAATGAAGGGTGGGTGAATCTCTTCATTAGTTTGTCGTTTTAATTTCCCAGTAAGGATGGGTAGAAAATCTCTGAGCTGACCAAAGGTTAATATAGAATCAGTAGAGGAATACGGTGTCGAAGTGGCAGGACATGCATGAGCCAAATTAAATAGAAACAGGTGATATTTATTTTGTCAACTTCGGCCTGTACTCATCGTAATATTTTTTTTTTTTTGGCAGGATCTTTTATCTTTTGGAAAATGCATTTATCACACTCCTTGGCAAGCCCCTCAGAAGGAATAGAATGTGTTAGCTTCCAGACATGAACACGTCCTCTCAGTTGTATGTTTCTGAACTAAACTTGAGTGCCTTTGGTAGCAACTTTACTGGGCCTACTGTCAAGAGCAAGTCATCGCCATGTGAGCAAGTGGTCATTGCAGCTGAGGTGTTCCTAACTCTGGGCATCATAAGCCTGCTTGAAAACATCTTAGTTATATGTGCAATAGTTAAGAACAAGAACTTGCATTCACCAATGTATTTTTTTGTTTGCAGTTTAGCAGTGGCTGACATGCTGGTTAGTGTGTCTAATGCTTGGGAGACCATAACGATATACTTAATAAACAATAGACACATCATTATGGAAGATGCCTTTGTCCGTCATATAGACAATGTCTTTGATTCAATGATTTGCATATCTGTGGTGGCTTCCATGTGCAGTTTGTTGGCTATAGCAGTAGACAGATACATCACTATCTTCTATGCCCTGCGTTATCACAACATCATGACAGCGAAAAGATCAGGGTTTATTATTGCATGCATCTGGACTTTTTGCACGGGCTGTGGCATTATCTTCATTCTTTATTATGAATCAACTTACGTGGTCATTTGTCTCATCACTATGTTTTTTACCATGTTGTTCCTCATGGTCTCACTGTACATCCATATGTTCCTCCTGGCTCGTACTCATGTGAAGAAAATTGCTGCTTTGCCTGGGTACAACTCTGTCCGTCAAAGAACCAGCATGAAAGGAGCCATCACTCTGACTATGCTTCTTGGCATCTTCATTGTTTGCTGGGCTCCATTCTTCCTTCATCTCATCCTGATGATCTCCTGCCCTCAAAACCTCTACTGTGTTTGCTTCATGTCTCACTTCAACATGTACCTCATTCTCATTATGTGCAATTCAGTGATCGATCCCTTGATCTATGCCTTTCGTAGCCAGGAAATGAGGAAGACCTTCAAAGAGATAATTTGTTGCTATAGCCTGAGAATGATCTGTGGTTTATCAGACAAGTATTGAGAAAGCAAAACCAAACCAAGAAAGAAAATAGAAATGCAACATCTTGCCTCATCTTATAACTCTGCTGAAATGCCTATGGAACATAGTTTCTCTGTTCAGCTGTGATGATTTCTGCAGCAATCAGAACCTATTTTTTAACATGTGATTTTACATTTCTTTCCCTCCACACACCTCTGTCATGCTGATGGTAGGAGCTACTCAGTGCGTCTGTATAATGGGGAAAAGAATATTTTGAATCTCATTTACTCTACCAAAGGCTGAATTTTTTTAAGGGATTATACAGAGAAAGCCATACTTTTCTTTCTGCTAAATGCAATGAGTGAGACCTGCCATGTGAATGAACCCATCATCCTTTCAATACATGTTTCTTTTGATATTATTTGATATTATTTTTCTCTCTAGGAAAAAAAAAATTGTCTCTCTAGGTAAAAATAAGCCTGGCTTATTCTGATGTCCAGAATTACCAGGTGGTGTTTTTTATTTTTTTTTTTTTTTTTTTTGCTATTTCTTTCTAAAGATATAAAATCAGAGAAGTAGCTCCAATTATCAAGCTTCACATACCTTGGTCAACAATTATGACCTATATACATGCACATATCAGCAGTCTTGTATTCCAGTCATGACTGTTACTGTCATAAAATGTGTATTATGTAAGAGGCCTGTGTTACCATGAGATTTTCCAGGCTGGATACAGTACTTTGTCATATATGACTATCTGTGTTTTAATCACACTGATGTGTGATGTATCTTAGGTGGATTTTAAGGCTGAATGTGAAGACTGAGCTGATTTGAGTTTGTCTGTTTTCTTTATTCACCAGGGCTAGAGAAGTAAAGGGTACATGACTCTAGATAGTCATGTAATGTTTTGTGAAGATCAAAAAACTTGAGTGAGTGCCTGCCTTTGAACAGACATCAGAAAAACCTTTTGGCTGTGAGGAGCCTCTGTTACTGGAGGAAGTTGTTCTGTAGATTGTATATTTCAAGCTGGGAGAGAAAAAACAAGTTTGATAATCAAAAACCATAGCAGGCAATGGTAAAAGAGGGATTTCAAAACCTCAGGCACGTGTTGCTATTACAAAGAGTCCTGACTTCTGCTCCCCAAAACAAACAGATTTTGTCTTCGTTGAGAGGATTCCAGGCTGAAACTCTCATGCCTTTTGTGTGAGTAATTTGCATCTAGTCATGCTTTCATAAACGTACTGTTCTGCAACAGCTGTGTAATGTACAAAATGTTGGATTTATCACAGATGAAGGAAGTGGAAGTATGGCATTGATTTCTTGATGAGCGTGGATGGTGCATATCTTGCACTGTGATTTAAGCTATGAAAATATTTCAAGTGGTGACAACCCACTAACTAGATATCAGAAAAAATGGAAAAATGAACTATTCCTTCTGAAATCTGAAAGAATAATGCTTGTTATGCCTGGTTTACAGATGCAGTAAAACTCTTGTTCTCAATAGAAGGAATATGATTTATTCCATGGGTGTTAGGTTATACCTTCAAGGTGAAAGTCCTGATTCAGTTATAGGAAATTTTTTACAATAAGGGCGGTCAAACATAGGAACAGGCGCCCAGTTGTTGTGCAAACTCCATTCTTAAAGATATTCAAAACTTGACTGTACTCAGCCCTGAACAATCTGGTCGAAGTTGAAAGGTGATTGACTTTGAAGTTGGCCCTGCTTTGAATGATTAGGAATAGATTACCTCCATAGGTCCCTTCCAAACCAAGTTATTTGGTGTTTCTATGAAACAGTTTGCATATTATGATAAAATGATAATTTTTCCCTCCTAATTTCATCTTTTGTGTAAGAAAAATTGTAAGATATTCTCCTCCAAACATTTAAAAAGATAGAACACTTGTGTTTTCATTTGCTTTGGAGGTCTCTGACAGGAGAAGTAAGGTGTAGCTCTAGCACTAGAGTTATACATTTTGTCTGCTGCACCTTAAAACGTATTATTCCTCCAGCTCACACTTATCTCACTCTAACATGAGTGGGAATGTTATTCTCAGTGAAGATATCTTATTGTGCTGACTGATATAATGGTTATATCAGTGCACTAGGTTCTGGAATCTTCCTTCAGCTACATCTGAAAATGGGATTTCAGAGATATGTTTGTGGTCAGTAGTGAGAATCTTGTCTTGTTTCAGTCCATCTCTTGACCCCATCCATAAATAGCACCTAAATGTGGGCTCTTGCAACTAGGAATGTAAATGGCAAAAGGAGATAGCTCCATTGCATAGTGAAAAGCATCAGCTGATGTAAATAAATCATTCAATCCTCACCAGGTATTGCAAATAAGACAGTCTTGTACATAATTGCAAAACGACAAAGGGGAAGCCAAAAGCGTAAAAGCTTTGGGTGTTTTCTTGAATTGTATATTATTTTTTTTGTTTTGTTTTGTTTCAAGTTTGTTTGATGTATAAACCCAGACATATGAAGAAACTATTAAACTGGATTGCTGGAAAACCCACTGTTACTGGTTACTCATTGTAACGCGTCTGCTACCTTATAGATTATTCACAGAGGGAATATTGCAGTACAGACTTTCATGTCTCAATTTAAACAAATGTCTTATTAAGAAACACATTCTGAATGAGAGTTACAGACTAATACAATGTATTTACATTCATACCTATGTTCCTCTGGGTGTCAGCATCACATCTTCATTATAAGCTTTAGGGGTGGGAAGCTGAAACAGCTTAAGGGTGAAACGAAAGTATTTGCAAGAACAGATTAGAACAGTTCCTGCAAAAAAGGCTGTTGCAACTATAGGAATGCATATAAAATACATATCTCTGGAAGACCATGACACGCTTTAATATGTTTCTTTCTCCTGTTTAGCTGCGGAATAAAAGGAACATTTAGTGTGCTCTCACTTCTCTCAGAGACTAGAAAACACTAAGTATTCTGATAGGCTGGGGCAAGCAAGCATTGGGTAATTAGGAAATTTGATGTCAAGGGACAGTCATGAAAAAATTAATTGTTAGGCTATCATTGCACCATGTCCCTGCAATTAACAACACTACTCTTGCTTATACAACCAGTCATTTATGGTTTAGCTTTAGTAATTGGAAAAAACCCATCAAATCACACTATTTCTGTCCCAGAGCTCCAAAACCAATTTATATTGCCCAGTGTTACTTTGATGACAGAACATTTCACTGTTTTTAACTTGTGTATTTAAAAGCTTTTGATAAGCAATTATTTGGATCTCACTTCTGTTGCAGGTGGGACTTCCACAAAGTCACCTGTATTTTAAGCAGGTTAGTATCAGCAGGAATATTAATAGAAAAAATCTGAATCTTTTCTCCAGGCCAAGGCCTCAATAAAGTACCTGGAAATACCAGTTTTTCAAGAGCCTTAACATCTCTTCTAAAACAAAACAGTCATAACTAAATGGAGCAAAGAAGTTGTTTATGATCCGGGACTTTAAGATCCTGCTTCCCAAATGGGTACAAATCTGTCATAAAGGACTCTAATTGCTGAGTCCTACTTCCTCTGAGTTTGGACTGGGAGGGATGATTGTTTTAAGCTCTACAACCTACACCCAGTGTGTAACCAGTGTTATGGTACAGACTAATACAGGCCTGCACCCAGTGTGCAACCAGTGTCCAGTGGTACAGACTAATACAGTGTGGAATCCTTTTGAGAGTGGGTTGTACTTTCATTCCCACTGCCTAGGCTTTTCGTTTTAGAAAACCTTCTCTAAGTGTCTGTCTGGAGACTTGAGTTGCGTTTTTTGTGAGTCCTGAGCAAACAAGTGCAGAAACCACAGGAATTTCCTGCACACACAAACTTTAAGAAGGCAGAAAAGATTTGTAATCTTTGGGAAAAAAACTCCCCCCCACAGTCTGCTCCCTTAAATCTTCAAGGACTTGGTTTTACAGCAAAGCCTTGTTGGGGATTCTCCTGCCTATCTTGCTGTAAATACTTCTGCTTCTCATCAGCTTCTTGCACAGAAGACCAACTCGTGGTGACCACTGCTGTGTTCAGGAATTGCAGTGGATGGTCCCAGTCTTCAGCTGTGTTGGAGTGCAAGCACAGTTAGACAGAGTGGGTAAAGAAGACATGGGAACATAGATGTGGAAATGAGGATCCCCACAGGAGGGACGGAAAGTCATGCAGGCTGTAGTGGAGCTGCCTGCGTAAGTCCCTGTGCTAGGTTATCTCCAGGTGAGACGTTCTCCTTCCTTTTCTAATCTTATCATCTGTTACAACCTGAGCTGTGTGTATCTTGGATTCCACTTGTTTTTCATACAGGACAGAAAAGGAGAATCTGAGATATGTGTGTGTGTTTATGCTTACATACATGCCTACATAAGTTCTTACTCGCAAATATAAAGTACAATCACAGATGACATCAACAGATGAAATGTATGTGTGAATGTACAGTTTCTTTTTCTCTAACCTCCCTGCTCCTTGTCATTCCGTTATTTGTTACACTACATTCTAACCTGCAGTGTGTTTCTCAGGTATTTCCTCTACCTGTGAACAAACTAGCAACAGTTTAAATCTGAATAAGAAGGAAAAAACCTCAAGTACTTTTTACATCTCAAGCTTTTGAAAATTACAGCAAATCAGTGCGACAGAACAGAGTTCCCTTGGCAGCTGTCACACTAAAGATCTAGTAAATTAGTTAAATTTTTGTGGTCCTTAAGCATTATTCCTACAACTTTTTTTTTTTGAGCTTGCCTAAAAAGCCCTAAAAATGCATGACTAGCTGTGCTGAATATTGAGAGTGGAGGGTCTTCATCAAAATAAAGAACAGCTTTTTATGGACATAATGACAAGTCTGGATATATGTCTGGTAACCCTCTGGAATGCTAGTAGAGCTTCCAGTAAGCTATGGTTTAGGGTATTGGGCAGGAGGTTATATTTACAGCTTTATAACTGGGCTCTCAATGAATGTGTCTTATATGAATTTATCTAATCACTTTTGTATCTCTTTATTTTAATCTGCAATATCTTGTTTCCAAGGTTAGACAGTTTGAGTGGAAAAATTATTTGTTTCCATTATGAAATATCTGCCTGGAAGTTTTCTTCAGTGCCCTATAGTCCTTATGTTGTAGAGAAAAGAGATAACTAGTCCCCATTCACTTTCCCTGTTCCATTCATTATCCTACTCGCTTATATTCCTCTATAAAGTTTTCTTTTTTCCAGCAAAGGATCCCAGCCTATTTAATTTCTACTGGTATCTTCATATATTGTTGTTGTTACATTGTTTTCCTAGATCTACTATATTCTTTTTGGCTTGAGGGAGGGCAAGGCGGGGGGGGAGGCAGAGAAGCAAACGATAATCCAGATCTAGATGAAAACTACATTTCTACAGTGCCAGACGATGCTGTCTGTTTTGTTCTCTAGGCAGTACGTAACAATACACTTTCATTTAGTACAACATACTCCGTAATGTGGAAAATTTCAAGATCTCTAAAATGCTTATAGGAACAAATACTCTCTGTTCTCTAAATAGGCTTTAATTTTCAATGGTAAGGGCACATAAAATATATGCAAAAAAATACATTACTTAGGAGTGCTTCTGTGTTTCTAGGTGCAAATACCTGCCTTGGCTGTGCCCCAGCTCTGTAGCAGAACTCATCTGCTGGACACAGCTTTCATTTCCCTACCTCTGATGAGATGAAAGCCTGGCCACTGAGGGTAGAAGGGCCTTTTAGTGTGTCCCAGCCGTGCTCCTGGGTGGCTGAGGATCAGGGACCCCAAGTTCAGATACAAACCTCTCCTAGAAGCTCATAATTTCTTTGAGAATATCATTTGTGCAGCTACCTCCAGATGGTGATTCATCACTCCAATCCTTTCAATTAGGCTGGTTTTACACCTGATTAAAGCAAGATGAGAAATGGAATGATGAGTTGTGTACGCTGGGTCCAGATGATTTTCAAAGGCATCAAAAGAACTTTTTTAGCGCCCCATTGAATTAATGCCTTAATTAACAGCAACAAACCAAAACATAAACCCACAAAGAAAATGACATTAATTTTTCTCCCTAGTTTGCCAGTATTTAGCAAGACACCGTTAGTTTTGGCAGGCAGTAAGCAGAGTTGCTTGTGAATTAGGTTTTTCATTGGTTTTTGTATTTTTCACAGAAACTTTGTGCCTGCTTCACCTACCCTGAAAATATGACCCTAGGAATGCCTATTATCTTTGTCTTATGCCTTTTCTTTGTCATAGGTTTGCTCTGAACTGCTTTCTGGAAAGCTTTGCACGCAATTTGGGTCTGGACATAAGTCCCTGAACTTCTATTTCCCCACACTTCATAAGGCTGGGAGAGCCTTACACAGACCTTACTATTATTTATTCCTCACAGGTTTCTTGTGGTTTTTAAGTCAGGGGAATCTGTCCAGGATATTCATCCATTGAAAGAATACTAGGAAATATACTTTAATTTTGTTTTAAATCTATAGCAATATCACTATTAGTAGTGCCAACATTGACCTCAACTCAAAGATACTTCACTGAAACCAAAAGTAGCTCTTTCCCAAACGTTTTTCCCAGAGAACATGAAGAGATCTAGCTACAACAAGGAGAGTAGATTCCTGCTCTCTGCTCACGGAGTGGTAGATAAGTGGTGGAGCTTGGACAAACAAGCATTTTAAATATTTTTTAAGTTCACACTTGACTCTTACAGAGAATGAAAATGAATTGCCTTTTCCTACTGTGAGGACCAGGCTGCACTAAAAAATGTCCTGGTAGACACACTTGTGCCAAATTCAGTTTCAGAGGAATAGAGTCAGTGGGTGCTGGAAACTTGGGTCAAAGTCTGTGTGCAAGACCCTCACCGGGTATGATTGAATCCCATTCCACTGGAGTGCTTTGTCAGACATCTTCTCCCCACAAAGATATATAGTAGGAACTCAGGGTGTGGTACGTCTCAAGCTCCTTCCTCTTCAGAAAGGAAAATAACAATATTTTAAACATTAGTTTAAATCAGAATGTCAAGATATACATTTATTTCTCATGTTCCTTAGTCTAAGAACTCACCAGCTTTCCTCAGTGGGCCTTCCGGATCCAGTGGTCTGGCTGGGGGGCTCTGTAAAATCAGGTCATATAGAACCTGCTTAACTCACTTGGAAAAAGTGGGTTAAACCTTTGACTTTTTCTGAGCTTAAGTGTCCTGCTTGGTGCTCGCAGTTTGAAAAGCAGGTGCTTAAAAAGCCCTCCTTTCAAATGGCAGAGAAAAGAGATGAATCACTTAAATTTCAAGTGCAGTTCCAATGACAGTTCATGTCCCTGCATAAAGTGCATAAAAAATGAAGAGGTAGGAAGTAAGTCCTTGAATGAAATCCAGGTTTTTCATCTCACAGTGAAACTCTAAATATTCAGATTTTCACTATGAGAAGGGACACTGGCACGGCCAACTCTGAATCTGGAGGAAAACTTTGTGAGTCAAAAATTCACTTGTATTTGGTATGTAGCCTGCTGGGTTAGTTATACTCTAGAAAGTGTTTCAC